TGGCATAAGGCAGTACCACAGACCCTCTCCGCCTGATGTCACGTCTGGCAATCAAGACATGACCCGTCCCATTCCTCTGATGGGAAATGCGCAACAATCTTTTCGAGTCTCTGGGCTAGGCCATAGGCCTCCGTTCAGCGTGAACGACGTGTCCCGTGGCATCATCCATCAGGCAGACAGCGCTGCATCCGTCTCTGAAGCACGTCACGTCTCGCTTTTCTGTCTCAGGCCAACTGTGCGAGAGGTGGAAGCATAGTTCATCGTCTGGGAGAGCTTGCAACGCTATGTTATTTGATGCGCTCAGTGGGCAATAGCGTGCACCAACAGGCATAATAAGATATCTCAATCTCAGCTGCGTCATCTGGAGTTGAATCGACTCTACGTCGACTTTCTTGGGATGGCGGACACCTACCTGAGACCGTGGGTACTCAGTAGCTGTCCCCTCAGGAGGCTGGCCGGTGAAGGGTACATACTGTACGTGTACTATACGTTTCATATATATACTAATCACGAATAACGGGACAACGAGCCATATGGCTGTGTTCACCACATTGGCATTCCCCTGCCACGAGCCCGAATGAAACTACAGCAAAAAGCATTTTTGCAATCGACTCATCCGTCGATCTGTAGATGGGACGTTGGTAAAATGGAGACGACGGGCCCAAAAATGCCAAAAGAAAAGAAAGGAAAAGGAAAAGGAAAAAGAAAAAGAAAACCAAACTGTGTTCATAAAACGGCTTGATTGTTCAGTATCGACCATGCGCCAGCCCATGAGAATTAGATCCATCCGCCAGTCCCTCGAATACAATTACACCCGCAAGCCCTAAGAAATAAAATATAACAGGAATTAGAAGGAGGGAAACCAGGAAGCTTTTCTCTGGTAATCTTGCGCATAGCTAAGTGAATTTTGAAGATGGAACGCAGACACGAGTAAGTTGCAGGAGAAAGGAGAAGCGGACGTAAAGACGTAATTGAGATAAAAATCGAGAGCAAAAGTAAATCAATTCATTTCTGCGCCCCCGATGTAAACGTGGCCTTCCCTTGGCACATGAGAAATCCTAACCATAGATATATATGCTTTGAAATTAGAGCGGTGGCAATGAGATGTTTTTTTTTTTTTTTTAATCCCCTTCTTAGGAGTCCTCCTCTGTTGTATTGACGTCAGCCAGTCGACGATATCATGACCCGTTCGTTACAGAGTGAGTATAATTTCACAAAAAAGGCCCTTTCAGCAGAAGATTTTGTAGACCTTCTTCCATTTTGGCCATTGGGAACGTTCAGCACGTTCCTCCGCGATCAGGTGCGCGATACTGAGGTCGCGCCTGCCCGTGTCGAGATCCATGTCCATGGCGCGCACAAACTTAGTACGATACCAGAGCTTGTACGGAATGTAGAAGGAGATAATAATTGGCACGGCCACGTAGAGCTCAAACACGTTCTTCACTCGCTCTTGGGCCGTCATCTCGCCGAAACCAACGGGGGCAACCGCGACCCATAATTGCGCCAAGAGGACAAGGGAGTTGAGTGCCAGGCCGATGTATGAACCGACTACCCCAGGCTGAGAACGGTAAGGTATCTCGTCGAGACTGCGTCCCTGGACCTTCCAACCCTGACGAAACCGGATAAGGGCAAAGCAAACCGATGACCATGTGAAAATAGAGGATAATGCAGAAATCGCAAGCATCCATGCGAATACCGTGCCTTGCTTTTCCTTCGCAACAGCAAGGTACCCAAGTAATCCGACGGCGGAGGAAATGCCAATCGCGGCGAGTGGACGACCCCGGCGGTCGATGTAGGTGAGAAAGCGAGGCGCCTGGCCCTGTTCAGCTAGGGCTGCAAGGGTACGTGAAGAGCCGTATATTGAGGAGTTTCCAACGGAAAGCACGGCAATCATGATAACAACATTCATGACTGAATCGAGCCCTTGGATCCCAGCGTCTCGTATCGCGATCACAAAAGGGGACGCGTTCGCATCGTAACTGGATTTGCCAGTAACCAATCGTACATCATTGTATGGGACAAGCAGTCCGATTATGGTCAAAGACACGATATAGAATAGGGTTATCCGCCAGAAGACTTGTTTAACGGCTGTCGGTATTGTCTTTCGTGGGTTAGCGGTTTCTGCAGCAGCCAAACCCACCATTTCGGTTCCGGCGAAGGCGAAGGCAGCAGTAACAAAGACGCTGCACAGTCCCTTGAATCCGTTATGGAATGCCCCTGGGTTACGCCAGTATCTACCGCCGATGTACTCGCCATTTGGCCCGCCACCCACGTTTAGAATAACTCCCAATATGCTGTTATAAGGGAGAGAGAGAAATGTCATGTTAGCGGGCAACAAAAAATCAGTCGTAGAAGGAGGCAGATTGGGACGTACATAAATCCGATGATTGCAACAACTTTAATGAGAGAGAATACGAATTCAGCCTCCCCATACCCACGAACACCAAACATATTTATGATGACGATTAGCAAATAAAATATGGTGACCCAGACTGCAGGAGAAACCGGGGAGTGCCAGTAATTGACAGTTATGGCAGCAGCTACGATTTCCAGGGGGAGCACTATAATCCACTGCAAAGTGTAGTTCCAGCCCATGGCGAATCCCCAAGCCGGATCGATAAAGCGGGTGGAAAAGGTAGAGAAGGAACCAGCAACGGGGAAGAGCACGGCCATTTCGCCCAATGCATGAACTGTGGAATATAACATGACCCCTACAAGGATGAACGCGATTAAGACGGAAGCAGCTCCGCCATCAGCAAGAGCTTTCCCCGAGCCGACGAATAATCCAGTACCTAGCATGATTCATGACATTTCATTAATCACAGAACATGAAATGGAATAGAAAATAGAGGGAACACCGGCTCACCAATCGATCCTCCGATGGCTATCATCTGCAGATGCCGGCCTCTCAGTTTACGTTGCAGTGGAGAGGATGCAGTGTTGGAAACGGCCGCTTCCAAGTTATATTGCTTGTCCTGACTGGACAGCTCCTCCTTTTTGGTTATCTGAGCATTGGGGTCGCGGCGGAAACCATCCACGAAGCGAACAAAGATGCTTTCACGGGACACCCTGTCGTCATCGCTGCCCGGGCTCATATTGGCGGCAATGGGCTTTGGTTCCTCAGTCATGTCCGCCATTATCGACGTTCTTCGTGAGATCCTCGATAGGTCTTTAAGGAGCCAAAAACAAAGATGGGCTGCGTTTTCTTCCTCTCCTCTATTGCCGAAAGAGGATCATGTTTCATCAGCACTGCGCAAGGCGTGGGAATTAGAAGCAACCAGAAGATTGACTTGCAAGACCAAACGACATGCTCAAGAGAAGCAAAAGAATCCTATCCCTGAAAGAAAATCCACGATAGCGCCAGGGAGAATGGTGGTTAACAAGTGCCTAAGCGTAGACTTGTTGCTTTCAACAACAATGCACACACACACACACACACAGTATATGGGAGACGAAGAGTCTGGATTTATAATATTTGCAACATAACAACAGCTCAAGAAACCATTATCAAGGCCAGTCTCTTGGGCATCTAACAAGTGGCAAAGGAAACCGAGCAGAATAAGCGCAGCTAGCAGGGTACTGGGAGGGACCCGCCGATTTAGAAAGAATTCCAACTGACCTTTGAGAATCAGGGACCCAGAGCGGTGAATGACTTGACACGGATATCCCAGTCTAGTCGTACTTTATCGAGAGAGAGGACTGTAGTTGGGAGCCATGGATGTAGAAAAGTGAAGAGGTGGAAAGGGAGAGAAAGGAGGATGAGGGTTGACCTGTAGTGAGTGTGGGACAAGAGGCCAGGGGAAAAAAAAAAAAAAAAAAAAAAAAAAAAAAAATATGCCATTTGCCATTGGTAATTTTAACTGGGGACGGATCACCACTCTGAAGGACCAAATGCCGTCATGGAACAGTGATATTTTGCAGAAAGCAAAAAAATAAAAATAAAAATAAAATAAAAATAAAAATCAGCTTGAGTTCGCGGGGAATGGAACTCGGTTGGCTACGAAACTCTACGGGTTATTCCATCTCCACCATCGGTAGCATGTGGCCTGCCCGTCGCATCTCGAATTGCGTAGATTCGGGTTATCTATCCTTACCCGGCACATGCAGTCTGCGATACACTGCTCTGTAGAACGATGCAGTCGAGACGCAGGAGTTGGCATGGCACACTTCAGGGTCTGTTGTTGGCGCCCTTCCGCTGGGCATTCAGCAATGGGCTTAGAACGTGCCATGTAAAGGGTATATGGTATATGAATGACTTCACGAAGCCTGCAACACTCGGTCGGCAGCTTCTCCATCATTCCATTCTCTAATACACGAACACTAGTAAGCATTCTTGAATGCGACTCCTCCAAGGCTATGGTCTCACAGATGAAAACCATAAACGGATAGGCTGGGACCACTAAAATAAATTTTATTTAACCAAAAGGATTCAAGGAAGATCATTATATCTATACTATTGACCCAAACCCTTAAAGAGGGCCGGGTTCGGGCATTTGAAGACTCTAACCTTCAACAGATTAAAGTTCGGAACTGACACAATCCAGACTGATTGTTTCGTCGTCTATGGAAGATATGGTGGGACCGGGATCTGCTCACCTCCGTAGTCCTATAAGCTGCCGAGTAACATGAGATCTCAAAGAAAACATTTGCCCCAATCCAGGAAATGGAACTGGAAAGAGATGTGAGGTTGGAATATGCCGCGGATAAAAGCTGTTCCACGCCGATGACTAACACGGGGTGTGCTAGTCTGTGATAGGCAGCCTAGGGCCAACACATTGGATTCTCTAACCTTGCCTCCGATTCTAACGCTGTATTGAGGCGGGTTGGTTCTTTATTTAGACCGGGGGTCCCATGTGTGTGCTGGTGGGAGAAAAGTTGGCAGGACATGGTAACTAGAGGGTGGAGGGTGGACCATTCACAATAACTAGGTGGTTGGCTCCTGAGTGAACATCAACCCCGCCATCCCATATAGATAGATATAAGAGGAAATCTCTTCCCCGCCCCCTCCGTGCCATCCTCTCTCCCAGGTGCCTGTATTTCTTGCTGTGTATACAACTGCTTCGCTGCTGTATATACCTATATATATCCCAAATTCAAACAGTTGTTATTATATCATTTCCAAAATCCAGAAACCTGCCCTTTCCTTCTCCCAGCCTCTTTATCAAACAGCCATGGGTATGCTACAGGCCCCCATCCAACGGTCCAGTTTCCCTCTCACGCCCTCATACAAACCCTCTCTAGTTACGATCATACAGCCATCCCGTCAAATCCAACGACGCTTCCAAAACCGCCTCGGCGTATCAGCCTTTACAACTTTTTCGCCTGCCCAAACCCAAACGGAGTCCGGGTCGGAGTCGCCCCAAAAACCCAGCAACCGGGACCCGTCTGATCTCGACCCAAACTCCACTGAAAGCACAAGCAGTGGTGCCCACGGTATCCACGCCGAAGTCGCTAGCCAGCAGACTGCTTTCAACCCATCAAACACTGTCCCAGAGTTCGAGCTCGAGGCGGCGCGCCAGGAACCAGCCGGGGGCAATAATAGCGGCGGTAGTGGCGACGCCGATGCAGGCGTTGACGGCTAACAAGAGCGCTAAGAACCCGCAGGAAGTACTATGTAAGCTCGGCTAATCGGGATGTATCAACTTCAAAAGGGATGAAGGCGTGGCAAAGGGCCAATGCATTCCATTCTCTCTGATGGGCGCCCGGCGGCCTTGGTCTTTTTATTCGGTTCGATTGCTTATGACTTGATCGGCCCAACATTTTTATTCACTCTGCGCGCCCTAATACTTCGTGCGTTTTTTGGTTTCATTGAAGCATTGCATCATTACTTCATTGCATTCTCTGAGCGTGCTAGTTGGTTTTTTTTTTTTTTTTTTTTTTTTTTTTTTTTTTTTTTTTTGGTGCGCTTTCCCCCAATTTTTGTTTCTATATCTCTGTCTTTTGTTTTTCTTTTCTTTCTTGGAAGCATTTTTATTTTTTTCCCTACATTGTTCGTATAAGTTGTATTGCAAAATCCATCCTGCCCGAGGTACAATATTTGGGAGGGTCTCATGGGCACCGATCCCTTGCCTCAACTGACTGGACTAATAGATTCCACGTAACCCCACCCCATATGTGGCGGAACTCCGGCGTATAGCCGTGGCGTAAAATCATGGGGAATAAATCCCAGCGATCAATGAATCTAAAATCTTAACAAAGACAAGAAAATAAAAAAAAAAAATAATAAAAAAAGAAGGAATCGGATTATTGTAGAAGGCTTTTGCAGTAGTGTAGTGGGTGGTGATTTCTTAAAGATCAACGACTCCATCCGCTGTAATTAGTCCTGAGTGCGTCAGTAAATCAAGGCAGCCCTCCACAGCAAGTAAGCTAGGCTATATCCCTTCCTTTTACATCGAGGTATAGATGTGAGTGTCTTTCAAACCCAGAAGCGTTAGAACATAACAGCAACGGGAAAGGGAGTGGGAAAATGAAAGACGACTTTATAGAGGAAATGGAGCCGGCAATATTTGTCTCCCCGACGGGGTTGAATTCATTGTGATATCGATACTAAAAGGCGTATATCATTTAACATGACTGTTTTATCCTGAAATCTCTCAAACGCCAGCAAAATCAAGTAGAAACGATAGAAGAAAGAAGAAGAAGAAGAAGAAGAAGAAGAAGAAGAAGAAGAAGAAGAAGAAGAAGAAGAAGGAAAAGTAAGTTAAAAGCCTCAAGTGAGGGAGCTGTTACTCCGTGGATTCAACTGTTGGCTTCTCGCCCCGGGCCCAGAAGAAGGGCACGCGGGCAACAACGTGAAAATTCAGTTAAATGTCAAGTTTCGTGGCTATGCATGAGCTAATACAACTATGCAAGAATGCCATACGCAGTTTAATGCTCATGCAAAGAGCAAGCCATCGCGGAGGCCTACAATCGCCAATTTTCTCTATGGGTCGGTAGCAACGGGGCCTTCACCACCAGGGATCAACTGTTCGCTTCAATCAGTTGCCATTATTGAAGCCGAAAGGTCCACAATGTAGCACAAAAAAAGTCATCAAAAAGGACGTTACATCAGACCCTGTATTCTACTCACCATGCATATATTATTTCCATTCAGGAGTATCTTTGATAGCTTGGTCTGAGAACCTGTATAATCACTATGACACCATCAAAATATGACAGCGGGCAGCACATCAGCCAATGCCGTACTTGAATAGTCCAACATAGGAGGTAGTCCACATACAATTCTGTGACATCTTCTAGAACCATATCTGAGGTTAGGAGTTAGCCAGACGGCCCCACGACCAATTCATCAATCAAAACAGAGCAGGGATATTTAACGTACTGACGTAGTCATCGAAGCCGAGTAGGGTGCCGGAGAACTCTGAATTAGATGTTAGAGAGGAAAGAAAAGGGGAAATATCTGAACCCAACTCCTCCTCACCTTTATCGCCTTTCATGACAACCCAGATTTTCGAACCAACACATTTATCAATCAACTCTGCAATACACAGAGATTAGGACACAGAAATCACAGAGTTTACGGACACATTTAACAGAGCTGTTCACGCTTTTACCTAAAGGGAGCAGTTGGGAAGCCATCGTGACGAAAGTTCGTCTCTCGGTCTTGATAACCAGTAATTAAAACACTTCCTAACTCCGATTGAATCGCAGATTTAGTCGAATAGATCAAGGCAAGAGGTGCTTCAACATGGAAACCGAATCACTTGCATATACTTCCTTTTGGCAGCGCTTCTTGCGACTTTCCAACTCTGTCTGGGTAACGACCTCGGGAAGATAGCATCAGATCACATGATGCAAACCCTTTCAGGCCTAGTATTTTATATTACAACCCTAATCGCTTTGGGGATAGCGTATCTTCAACTCGCAAAAGAAATCAAAAAAAAAAAAAAAATCAAAAAAATCAAAAAATCAAAAAATCAAAAAATAAACCCATGACAACGCGACAGGTTCAGTTTATTCCGCAGAGTTCTCTGTGTTTGGCGCCGTTTCGATGGCGGAAGGAGTATCACTCACGGCTTCCATTGACTAATTTGCCCCATACGTTGTTATCTATGATGCGTCCTCCATCGTTTTGATGATGTTTCCACATGGACTGAGAGAATGCTGCTCTTCGGCAACGTGTGTAGGCTGGCGTGTTCAGCCCGAAGTGAATCGCATATCCAAGTCCAGATATAACACCCTATGTTTACATTTGCATAGCGGATGGTGAGAATCCCGCTCTCGCAAGCTCTGCAAGTGAAGCGAGCTAATATTTTTTATTTTTTCTATTTTTATGTGAAGTCGCAATTATTGCTATTCCACCAATGTCACTTACATCATATCAAGAGATCGAAAGCCCCGAACGTCTTCTCCATGGCACGGAGCACGGCTGATGTACACGCCTTGGAGGGCTTTTTCTGACACCCCTTCCAATTATGCTGCGCCGAAGCCCAAACCCCCTTCGAATCTCAAGCCTCTCGCACCCAAACCCTTGTTCGGGGCGCGGACTCCGCAAACACCAGCCATTGTAAAACCGACAAGCCGGGTACGTACACCCCAGGATCCGCGTGCTATATTGGCGCAAACTCTTACTCCTGCAATCGCCGTCCCCGACCTGCAAGATGAACCGCCCTTGGAAGAGCGAATTCTCCAGCATCGCAAAACCCAGGCTTTGAGTCCAGAACTTCTGGGCCCGGCTATCGGCACGTTATGGGATCAGATAGAATTCGACGAAGCCTACAGCGAGCGTCTACAATTGCTGGACGCACAGATCGCGGCAGCTGCAGCAGCAGCCCAGGATTCCCAGCCACTAGAAATCCCGACGTTCACTCCATCACCAGCCGATCTTGAAATCGATATGTCTGCTTCCGCGGATATGCTGAAGCTCGAACCAATTGAAGAACGGGAGGTCGAGCTGGTCGATCGCCAACGGGACATCAAGCGACTTATAAAGCGTGTGCGGAAGCTCCAGAGTCGCTTTGTCGATATCAGATATAATATCGTCATACATGACATAGCAGTGACCAGTTTTTTCGATACTGTATTGAAAAGGTTATATCATGATGGTATTTATGTTACCAGGGTGCGTGAGTTGACTCGCTTTTGGAATTCAATCGAAGTGTCAGTTCGCAAACGGCGGCGAGCCTATCTTGATTCCCAAAGCTGGCTTTCTAAGGTCAATTCGAAGGAGCTGAGAGATATTTCTTTTTATCTTAAATATCTAGGAGAATTGCCACGGTTGCCTCGAACAATGCAATCAAATTTTCGCAAATATGATAGGTTATTGGGTATGGATAAGAGAATTATCTCTTTGGCAGGCCACATGTGGCGGAAGTACTTGGGCACCGGATTATACCTCTCTGAGCACGCTACTGTTCCTAACGCCTGGAATTTCGAGGTTTTGTCCACTTCCATGAGTGATGCTTTTATTCAATACCGCAACACAATTGGTGACACGATCGATGAAATCAACAACATGATCGGGGGACTTCTATCCAGGCCGCGAAAGCGCAGTCAACACGCGCACAACCAACAACTAGTCACGATGCTGGAGAACAGCCTGGCGGTACATGCTTCAGCGAAGAATGACTTATGTCAAGATTTCGGCCCATTCTATTCTTACGCCCTTTACCTTTTCTATTCTAGACAACCAACATCCAGTATTTACTGGAAGCAGTGGGAGGTTATTTCCCCTTTCATTACCTCACGGGCCCTCATACTTTCAATCAGGGGTGCTTTGAGTGATGTTCTCAATATCCTAGACATTGGGAAACGGGCAGGTCACAGAATACCGATAAAACTTGAAGACTCTCTCTGGAAATGGTATAGGGAATTTCCCATTTTATGGATGGATGAATTCATCGTGGAACTTGAAGCGTTTATTGAGCTTAATTTCCTTCGCCTCCAAACCGAAGAAAGGCTCTCCCGGCTTGATTTAAACGTCAATGCAAGGCCGTCTGTTGTCTTTCCAAATCAAACTGATATGGAAAAACTTCGTAACTGGGCTTTGGGACTGGAAAGAATCACTGGACCGGGGAATAACTTTAGTCTAGGAAACTCCGATGTAGATACATCTCGAAAAGTTACGGACAGTAATCGTTGGCTTCGTATCCAGCATGGAGTATGGGATAGGGGCAACTGTCTACTGGCTCAAGATCCACTACGCCAACTGCACCTCGATCTCTACCGTCGAGGCTGAACAAAACCAAAGGACTAAGACGTTCTGGCATTCGTTCAAAACCTCCTCCGCCGCCATCAAAGCCGACTAAGGTAAAATCCAACAGCCATGACACCAGTCCAAAACTATCAGCATCACAGCCAGCGAAGAGGAAATCCGAATCTGTCATCAGGCCAAAGGCAGGTACGGTAAGTGAAATTGAGCCCTTGGTGGCTGAGACAACGTCATCACTGGTCAGGGAACAAACCATTACTACCTCCAAAAAAAAGCCTTCACAATGGCTAAGCGGACTCTTTAACCGTGTACCATTTTCCAAATATCATACCAAAACTGCAGTTGGCGTTTCTGGCTCCTCCACACAGACATCCAACGGTCAAGCTGATCCGTCTCCGTCAAAGTACTGGAGCTATAATCTTAATAAAACTCCGGATGGCAAAGAAATCACTGTTCACTATTGCACTTCCCTTCAAACTATGGAACGAGTAGCAAAGCTTTTTTTGTCCGAAACTATTGTCGGCCTTGATGTTGAATGGAAAGCCCAAGCCTCTGCTCAAGATTCACTTGTGGATAATGTTTCTGTGATACAACTTGCGAGCAAGGAGCGAATCGCCATATTTCACCTGGCTTTATTTAATCCTGCAAATTCACTACAGCACCTTCTGTCTCCTACTCTTAAGAGAATACTAGAATCTCCCGATATAGTCAAGGTTGGCGTCGCTATCAGGGCAGACTGTACACGCCTGTATAAATATTTGGGCATTCGGACAGATAACATTTGCGAAGTCAGTCGCTTGCACAAAGTAGTGAAGCACCACCTAAACCCAAAATTGATCGACAAGAGATTAGTGAATCTCGCTCAGCAGGTGGAAGAGCATTTAGGCTTGCCACTTGACAAGGATCCTGAAATCAGATGTGGTGGCTGGTCGAAAAAGCTCAATTACCGTCAAGTACAATGTAAGTTGATTTCGCTAACTCGCTCGTCTGCCATTTTATCTCGCCGGTCTCTAACCCACCATTTCAGATGTTGCAACAGATCCATACGCCGCCTTGCAGCTTTTCCATGTCTTAGAAGCCAAAAGGCTCCAGTTGACGCCTGTTCCACCGAGGCCGGTCAACCCAGTCATCGTCTATACTACCCCAGACTCTATTGCGAAAATTCATCCAAAAAGCAGTTTAACGCAAAATGAAGAAGCCCCCCGATCCGTGTGAGAGTGAAATTAAAACGTCATTCTCAGACAACTGAGTGATATAAAACCATCTAGGTGTATATAGCAATCTTGTTGCTTCCCCCCTGTGCTGATTGATGATTCCGAAATACAATGCCGTTGGCCACCGATCGAGTTACATTTGCGGTCGCTGCTCCGTTTGAAGGCGCCTATAATCATTTCAAAAATCGACGTTTTCCACCTTCCCAGCCAGCTAGGATGGAAATAACAAATTGAACGCATGATCCTACCCAAATACCCCAATTATCCCCATGCTCCTCGAAATAGTCGATGCGGACGCTAAGCCGCTATCCTACGAGGCTTCCATACTCCCCGTAAAATGCAATGATATCAACACACCCTCACCAAGACATTTCAACATCCTATTTTAGATTTCTGTGTATATTGCATTTTTTAACTTGTTCATGTTAAACTCATGCATGGTTGCGCTCGCCATCGGTGCCTAGCGTTTATTTTACTCTTAGCCAATCCTCCAGCCAATACATTTCGTGTTTTGCTGGTTTTGCGATTTGTTTATTTCCTAGGTTTTCTTTTGGGAATCATTTGGATGGTTTAGATGATTGACATCCTGTTTTATTAGAAATCGTTGACATTGGTCCAATAGACATATCCTGCCACACCCGTACAAATCTATAGTTGGAATGCGCGAAAGTATACACATGCACAATGAAATGTGCAATTTATATTCTATTGGTATCGACAATTGTATAAGTAGATGTACAGTACATATATGCTATAAGAGACAATTAATTATCTTCCGCTCTCACATCTTTATATAAAAGGAGCGCCTCAGCCTCTCAAGGGCAAAATTTTCGAACCCAACGCCTCCTGCCGACATAGCGGGCACTCGGGTTTCTCCCGCACCCAGTCCCGTATACACGTCCAGCAAAAGATATGTCCGCACGTTGTCGCACTCGGGTCTTTATACAGCTCCAAACACAGGGTGCATTTCCGTTGCTGACTGGGAGGTACCCAGGCGAGAGATGCGTTGGTAGGATTTGCTAAATCATATCGCGCTTCGCTTGCGGGCAGTGACTGTATGGACGGTGGGGTATATATTGACTTTAGAGCGGTTTTTTGGTGGTCGGAGCCTTCTTGTTGCTGCTGACCCTCCGCTGTTTCAGCGGTGAAGGAAGAGATGGTATTTTTGACATGCAGTATGCCCTGCACAGCGATTTGAAGAACGAGTAACACGCCTAACACCTCATATCCGATTCTAGCTTCATTGTCTTCGATTCGCTTTGTGAAAACATATCGAAGGCCCCAGATGCGTTTGGATATGTGGTAATATGCTCCAGAGAAATAGAAGGCGGCCAGATTCAGGGCGAAGATTGGGGAGAGGGAGGTAAGGGAATCAAGATGGTCCAGGACATAATTTTGGAGGCGCAGTGTGAGGGTCGGCTTGGAGGGTGTTTTCTGTTTTAAGGATAGTAATGCAGCTTTTGCCTGCAGTCGGGCAACGCTGCGTTGGAGTTTCGCCCGCATCTTTTGTCGTAACGCGGGAAGCAGCCGTTGTAATGTCCATGGTATTAAAATGCTGCTGAGGATATATCCGACCCGTCGTACCAGCGATGGTAATCGTAGTGAGTCATCTTCTAGTTGTACCACGTCGCAATACTCTTCGCCTAGTGTTCTGTTTCCGACAAGTGTTGTGACGGAGAAGTAGAGCAGGTCAGTAAGATTTTTGATTGTGTCGGTATGAGAATGGGCGAATCTTGCACCGCGGAGAGCGCGAATTATTGTGTGGGCTTGCACTGAAAGGATGCCAGAAATGTACGCATCTTTTTCGTGGCTGCGTATGACGTCCGGGGATGTGGCCCATGGAAAGAAATGCGAGACGGGGCTAGCTGATGGTTTAGGAAGAGCTGGATCTGCGTCCATCCTGCGGGATAGATCTTGCACAGATATGAACAGATATTTAAAACAAATAGTATAGCAAGTAGCGTTAATATCAATGACACCCAATCCGCGAGTTATGTGCCTGTATTCCCGCAGTCAATCGGCCGGCGCAACGAGCATGACTTGCTTGGACATACTTGGATGGCTGAGTGAGAGTCACGGGATTCGCTCAGTCGCAGCCTTGGAAGGACATGACATAATCATCAGGTTTTCATCGTCCGGAATCTTGTATCAACAGGTTTGCCGAGTCAACTTCTATGCTGCAAAACCGTGGAGGACACTCTGTGATTTTCTCTCCCTTCTGCAAATGGTACAAGCTATCTAACACCGGATAGTAACTCACTCGAGTCGCTTATTTGCCCGCTTATCCTCTTACTCCCGGCCGTTACCCATCCTCGGTTCTAATACCTTCCCAATCGATTGTCCGCTACATATATTCATTTGCGATGGAATATGGACCCAGAACATGATGTGAACCGCAGCTTGGATCACTTAAGCCGGTTCAGTCTCTTTTTCCCTCTGCCTTATCGAGTAGCCATAGTACTCGTTGCAGGTATGCTTTCTATATATATATCCACCGAGAAAAACATCTTCCATAGCAACTTCTAATAACTCAGCCCTAGGTGTTTGGGGGTGGGGGCTGAACCTCCATTACTTATCAGCCGTTAAAATCGTATGTATGCCCCCGATTGGAATGGGGAAGAAATAGTTATATAAGAGGATGGTTCCCGACTAACATATGATTCAGGATGTCCCGGCCTTGATTCGATACCCGTCTCGATCGTCCATTCACCAGGTGCCCGTCTATCGCTCCACATATCACCTTGCGACTTTGCTCTCTATCCCTCTTGCGATATCCCTCCTGATTTTCTGGTTTGTGACTCATGGGTCCGCGCAACGAGTTGTCGAGTGGGAAATAATTCCGCAATCGTACCTCTTCCTGTTCTTCGTCCTCCTTATCTTCCCGCTTCACAAGCTATCCCGCAATGGACGACACAGGTTCGCTGTTGCACTGAAACGGGTTAGCGTTGGCGGCCTTGCAGAAACCCAAGATGGGAAATTCGGTGACATAATACTTGCGGATGTTCTGACTAGTTATTCCAAAATACTTGGAGACCTTTTCGTTAGCACCTGCATGTTCTTCTCATCGGAAGCATCCAGCACCAGTATTCCGAATAGGGAATGCGGTGGCCAAATTGCCGTTCCTCTACTTATTTGTATACCCAGCGCAATTCGGCTCAGGCAGTGCCTCATTGAATTTGGCCGGGTGCGGAAGGGAAACCGAAACATCGATGGCTGGGGCGGACAACATCTTGCGAACGCGCTCAAATATGCGAGCGCTTTCCCTGTAATTTTATTAACTACCTTGCAGCGCAATCATGACCCGAATTCTTACACCATTTCCGCAGAAAACCTGTATCGATTATGGTATGTTTCTGAACTGGGATCAGGGCGCTGCCGCTTTTGCTAACCCTCTACTAACCTCATGCAGGGTTCTTTCTGCACTCATTAACTCACTATTCGCATTCTACTGGGATGTCGCCAAAGATTGGGATCTCACCTTATTTTCCGCGCTGAATCACCCCAACGACCCGGAGTACCCCTTCGGCCTGCGACGACATCGGTATTTCTACGCCAACGAAATGTATTATTCAGCTATTATCATTGACCTAATTTTACGATTCACATGGATTTCTCGGCTTTCTACGCGTTTGGACTGGGTGAATGATTTAGAAGGCGGCGTTTTTGTGCTCATGCTTCTTGAAGTTGTTAGGCGGTGGATCTGGATATTTTTTCGAGTTGAAACGGAGTGGGGTGAGTACCATGACATCCCTGCTTTGAACCTGTTCAATATATATTATATATATATGTGTGTGTGTGTGAACTGAGTTGTTACTAACGAGGGTTTTATTGGCGATAAATTTAGTCCGGAATAACCGTGGCCCTGCACCGGATGATATACTCCTAGGCGAATTTAACGGCAAGATAGACGAGGATTAGACAACAGATATGCCGAGCGGGACTGTATGGAAGTGCTGTCATCAACTCGCGCCGATTTATATTTCTCTTTGGCGTCATCGACATTTGGTTTTTCAAGAAGAAAGAGCCTATATCTATCTATATATTACCATGTACATGAACATTACATCGATCTTTCCTGTTCCACTTTTTTGTTATGTATACATCCACTTATATAATTTATATCATCAAATACATTGTAGCTCGATAGTTTTCTTTTTTTTTCTTTTTTTTTTCTATGCCAATCTTGATTAAACTAGTGAGTATGCACGAGGTTGGTCCATGGCGACATAAAGTACAACCTCGTCGAAAAAAGTTCAGATCGCGTCCAAGAGAAGAAACCCCGCTTTAAGATTTAAAAGGCTCATCAACAACTATTGTGGATACGACTGGACGAACAGCGAAAACGGTTCAAATCAGGAGATATAGCTTTATTATTGTACAGGTAGTCAAGCTATTGAAGAGTAGTTAGGAACAAAGAGATATGACGGATCTTCCTAGATGAGTCGTGGCTAGGAACACGAAATGAGATCCAAAAGCATAGCGGGATTATTAAATCAAGGAAACACCCAGAAAATATAGGAATGGGGCAAGAAGGGAGACTCTTATGTCAGGGAAAAGGGGAGGAAAGGAAGGAAGAATGGTTCTCCCTCGAACTAGGAAAAGGAAAAGACCTTGAATTATCTACTTGTATAGCCAAAAAGAATAATGACATGGCATGGAGACTAATGTCGAAAAGAAGAAGTAGAAGGAGAAGGGAAAAATAACTTTATATCATCTTGAAACGTCAGAAGCAAGAAAACAGAATATGAGAAAAGGAAAACAATTGACGTAAACCCAATATCATCGACCGGGAGGGTTGTGGTTCTCAAACAAATCTTCTAGATACGCACTTGGCGCCCGCCCCTGCGGCGCAACGGATAGATTCACACTACTGGTCGAAGGATAGCCTTGCTCGTAACCTCCACCACGACTTGTCGGGGCCAGACTTGGCGAACCAGGCGGAGTTATACCACTCGCAGATCTCGTGCGGGTGTAGCCCTGCGTCTGTGGGCCTAGCGGCGAGAGACCTATCGATTGGCCAGGGCCGGAGGCAGCTCCCGCAGCATAGTATCCGGCGGGGAGGTAGCCGGAGCCCCTGTTCCCGCTCGTATGCATACCCGCGCCGGCAGTCGGGGAGAAAAAGAGACTCGAGTTTGGTGTGTGGTTCCGCGGTGGTAATCCGGAAAGGCGTGCGCCACTGCCGCCCATTTTCTCCATCGACATGGATGAACCGGGCGCAAGTTGCGGGTAGACGCCGGATTTCCGCTTGTTAAGGAGAGCGGGGGTTGAATCTGACTGCTCGGGACGAGTTGCTGCACGACGGACGGAACGGTTGATTGACCAAGCTACCAGCACTCTCCAGAGGAATACTATCAGGCCGAAAAGGCCCAGGGCGGCGCCTACTGCAATGAAGATGGTGCCCTCTGGTAGGCTTGAGACTTCGAGGTATGGGGCTCCGGCCGCTGGAGGCACTTGTGGGGTGGGTATTTTGAAAAGGGGAGGAAGACTGAAAGGAGAGTCATTGGTTATTGAAGGCAAGTCGCCGTTGGTCGTGGTAGTAGACGGGTCCGTTGTTGTGAGAGGTGGGAGGACTTCATCACTCGGCTGGTCAGTTTCGGTTGGCAGCTGAGTCGTTGGTGGCTTGGCTTCATCAGTACTTTGAGGGGCGGTGGTCGTTGGTCTGGGGTTATCAGTCGTTTTGGGAGGAGGTTCCGGGCTATTTGTTCGGCTTGGTTTATCTTCCTTATCATCAGGGCCTTGCGCTCCCACTTTGCCAACCAGAACTACCAGGCATAGAAACAGTACAAAGAAAAGGAACGACTTCGACGCCAACCTCCGCGATCGCCTCATAGTCGATGAGACTCGGGAAAGGTGTCAGCCAGTAAAGACAGGATCTTTTGGGTGATATTAACAGTGATACCAGATTCCCCCCAAGATACGGTACCCTTGAGTTCGAGCAGTGAGTTTAGCAGTCCGATGGGCGTATCGAAGGCCCTAATTGATATCGAAAGTAGCAGATAGGTGCTTCTATCCTATTTACAGAAGTACTGTCGTCGGCAGGAGGGGTATTTTCCTGGGGAGGGCGGGGGGGTTGACGGAGCAAACCCGAGTCTGCGACGAATCGTTGTTCGAATGAAGGGAGAAGTCGGGGGAAAAGCAAAATGAAACACAGGGCGATAGCAGATCCACAGAGAGCAGAGGAGAAGACGCAGTTTTGCGTAAGAAAGACACTGAAATAACGAGCGAACACAGGCAAAACAGAAGAGGGCGCAGCGAGCTCCGGATATTGTGAGGATGTTGGAAGATGCTTTGATGAGGCTCAAGGGCTGGACGTCGTCGTACTACTGGGATTGGATTGGCGGCCTGCAATTGGCTGCCAGCAGGATAAAAGTGGAGCACTCTGCTAGAAGAGGAATGGATGCCAAGAACTTCCCCTGATCGCAGCCGAAAATAGATATCAGCACGTGGTTTTGTTTCTTGTCTGAAACAGAGGCAAAGTCAGTTTATTAGGCACATTATGATGGTATCTTGAAAAAAATCCAGCCAAACGCATACCCGGGATGTTTACAGAGGGATAATATACGGTGATGCGGCGGATACCCTTTCCTTTTTATCATCTTGCGGTCTCCAGTGCCCATCCCGTCCTGAGCATTGATATCTCAAAAACTCTGTCATGCCCAGAGAGCCCAGGAGCCCAGTGTGTACCGTACAAGCAGAGTGTATCATATGTCCTTCAGTAACTTCCATCTCTTGCTCTCCGCTCTATACAGCAAAGGACCTGTGTGGTGAAAATTCGCCAGAAAATTCTCCCACCGATCTAAAGTTTCTCAAAACGGGATATTTTATACCACCGCCTTTCCACTTCTTCTCCCTCCCCAGAGCCGATAAAGACAAGGAAAAAAAGGTGCAACGCATAGAAGTATCATTGGGTGTAGTGCAGACGTCTATAGCCCATTGTTGTTGACTTGTGTATTTGTGCAAGGAGAAATTCATGTCTCTGTTGTGCCAAAAAAAAAAAAAAAAAAAAAAAAAAAAAAAAAAAGGAAAAAAGAAAGAAAGAAACCCGTTGACATCAAGAAAGTGTATAAAGAAAAGGGAACATCAGTAGACGAAAACAAACATATTCAATATCAAAAATGGACAAGTCAAACAGACAATCCCGAGCTGTCATAAGTTCAAACCCAATAAAAAGGCAAAGAATGCGAAAGACATGTATGTGAAGGAAAAAAAAAAAAAAAAAAAAAAACCAACACAACACCAGATACCTCTCCATTTCGAAAGAGGCTTATGAAAATACAATTAAAAGGAAGCACTTTTATTGCTACTTCTTCACCGCCGCAGGGCCATTATCTTTCTCAAACGCAACATAGGACACCTTCAAGCTTAGCATGGCTGAAATGCCAAAATATATGATCACGACGATTAACAAGCTAATCATCAGGCCCATGAATATTCCTGCGAAGATGACAAAAAAATAATAATATGATGTGTCAGTGGGTTATGTATGTCCTTACCATGGATAGGAACACAGAGATAATATCAATACCGCGGGAGGCTGGCACCAAGAAAGGGGAAACTTCAGAAGGAAGACGAACCTGGACTAAGAAACTGATACTTCTCGAACAAAGGCAGATTCCTCAATTGCTCGTCGATGTCATCCTTGCTATCGCCTTCGGCCTCGCCATTCCCATCACGGCGCAAAAGCGAATGTGCCCTGTTGTCCCGTTTCATGTTCATCTGTAGCGGGTTCTGAAAGATATCTTCGTCCATCGTTTCATATAAAGCTGGTTCCTCCTCTATTTGGATACCTGCCGGAGTAGCCTCTCTGGGGGTCGTGGTATAGAGCACAGTGTAATCGCGGGACGGAAGACGGTCGATGAGGGCATTAAGGAATTTATCTAACGGACGGTTTTGTTCACTCAGCTAATACATTCCTAGAAGCGCACAGCGCAGGGCCTGTACACCATTTTCTTCTTCTTGTTTCGTTTTTTGGTGTACCCACCATTCTTGACAAGTTGCTCCGACCTATTCAAGTCCGTGGCTACGCCGGCAAAATCAACCCTGACAACTAGCGGCGTCTTCGTGTATGCCTGCGGTGCGATACCAGCTTCTCCTAGACAACGCCCAGTCGGCATCAAATTGTTAGCAACTTCCCCGCTTTTTCCCCAAGTATATAGCCATGAAATGATAAAAACGCAAATAGAATTGAAAATAAAACTCACCCGACCCATCAATCCTATCAGCCTCCACCCCACACCCCTCTTCCAAAATCCCTTGTAACTCATCCACATCCACCCTCCCCACAACTTCACTAACCGCAAAACTCCCCTTCACCTCCCCATCCAGCTTCAGCACCCGACGCCGCAGCTGCGGCGCGGCATAGCCCGTGCTGTAATCGCGCACGTGCACGCCCGGCTGGGAGATAAGGATGTAGGCGGCTGCAGAACAAGATTTGAGGGAAGATGAAAGGGAGGAGGAGAGCGTATGTGCGGATTCGAGCTGGCGCGAGACAAAGGGAGTTCTGTATATTGGAGATTATGGTGGTTAATTGTCAGTGGCTTTCGTTCAAGGCAGAAGGGGCCTGGGGGGATGGGATGATAATGCGCGGGCATATAGGATAGATGGTATATATGTGTTTGGTTTGGCAAAACTCACTCATGTGTAGAGAAGAAGAAGAAAGGCGATGTGTCTTTGAAGGCGTCGACGGCTGGTAGTGCTACCGATACGAGAGCAAAGAGCCCCAGCCCGTTGATCCACATGGTTGCTGCTAAAGGCAAGACAACTGGATGGTGTAGTTCGTGGGGACCTGCTGGCGTGTATTATGTGTGCACTATGTATAGAATGCATACAAAGGATGTTGGAGCTTGAAGCTTCCAAGGTTTGTTGGAAAGCGGCTTGGGCCCGAGTTGACGACATGGCGGTCTTGGCATCAAGTCCGCACTCTCAAGAAGTTTGTTATTCCCCTTTTACAGATTTATTATAAAAGTCCAAAATTAATACCATATTTTTTCTCTCATACACAAAATAGCAAACAAGCATGCGCACTCCTTTTCTCCTCAAGGCTGGAGTCGCGAACTTGCTTGTATAGTTTATATCAACTGCAATCAACTTTAAAGAAATCATAGTATTCAAGGTATAGTGGGAAAAAGGGAGAAGAAAAAGAAATTTCAACCCATGTGCCTAGGGTAACTTTAATGAACATACAAAATGATATACATTCCTTGCCTTGCCTTACCTCATGCTCCATTTTTCGGTTTCCTGTGCAGTGCATTAACGTGCACTTCTCCTTCCTCAGATTCCCCTTGTCTTTCTCGAATTCCTTCTCCGGGACGTAATCAACCCCCTACCATTATACATCACTCTCCTCTTTCCCTCTTACCCCATTTACCCCATTTAGCTATTTCTACCTATCCTGACACACACGGACAGCCATAACAGACCAACCCTCATCCCACCATAACTCAAAAATCAAAAAATCTATAGAAAAGAACCTCTTGCTCACGCAATAGTAGGAATGTGAGCTGACGGCAGAGATCCATTGCCAACATTCTTCATGCTAGCCTCGCGAGCACCGGCCAGGCCAAACTGCGACGGGACGCCCTCGATGCGGTGTGTGGAGTTGATGTTCTTCACTGCTACGATTTGCCAGCAGGTAGCGCTGCCCTGGCGCGAGATGATGACGGAGTAGGCGAGGAAGAATTCCCAGATCTATACGGAGGGGAAAGGGTTGTTTGTTAGCCTTTGTACATATAAGACCGGACTATTAGGGAAGCGTGGAATGAGAACATACCCTATACCACCTCTTGCCATACTTGGCTTCCACCTTCTCCTTATTAGCAATCCAGTTCCGATACCACCGCCACAGTGTCGCGGAATAGTGCACGCCAACGGTGTCGACGCCCTTAATCTCGAAGCCAGCGCCTTCAAGTCGATCAATGACAAAGCCAAGGGGCGTGCTGGCATCAGCGCCGGGGAATATGTACTTGTTCATGAACAAGCCCCAAATAAGATCCTCATACTGCCACGCCTTGCGCAGTCCGGCAATTTGCAAGAAGAAGACACCGTCATCATTCAACATGTCATGTACCTGCGAGAAGAAAGAGGCAAGGTGGCGTACGCCGACATGTTCCGCCATCTCGAGACAGGTGATCTGATTGTAGCCGCCGGGTACGACCGGGCAGTCACGGTAGTCGGAGCAGACGATGCGGCTCTGGGATTCTTCGATGCCGGCGTTGCGTAGTGCGTTGTTGCCCCATTTTGTTTGGTTGCGGCCTAGAGTGATACCGGTGACATGGGCGCCGTAGTGCACGCTGGCGAATTTGGCGAGAGTTCCCCAGCCGCAACCTAGGTCCAGCATTCTGTCACCACGCTTGACCTGGATCTTTTCGCAGACGACCGCAAGTTTATTGTCCTGCAATTCCTCGAGAGTTTCTTCCCTGTTGATATCGCTGATGATGCCGCTGGTATAGATCATGCGAGGACCAAGGAACCAGCCATAGAAGTCATCGCCACGGTCATAATGGTCCCGGACTTGTTCCTCGTCTGTAGAGTATTAGTGGATGTAGATATATACAAAATATAGGCAAGAGTAAATAAAGAAATAATAATACCTTGGCTACGAGTATGCATAATAACTTCCGGAATCATGCCTGTCAAGAAAAACTTATACAAGCTCATCGTAAAGCGGAACGCAGCCCAATCATGACGATACTCCATGGCCTCAAGACAATCGCCCTTGAAATCCACAGCGCCGTCAAAGTACATCTCATGGAAGGTTTCCATGGGGATCTTGCTCTTGCCATGGTATCTGGCACGGTCATGCTCGCTGTGGAAATGCAAGTAGTGCTCGACAGGGCGTCCGGGATATTTGGCCTTTTCGTTCTTGCGAGGCGAGATCGAGGAGGCTACGGACCAGAAGACCATGAGGATCGGGATGGTGGTGAGGATCGCCAGGAAAATTGTAGTATACACCCCCCCGCCGATTTGGCGAGCGAAGTAAGCTGGAACGAGGACAAGGAAAGAGATGAGGAGGATGTTGGAGAAACTGTCGCTTCCGGCGGCGTCAGCCGGTAAGGGGGCATTTTTGATGGCAGGATACTACAAAAGTTCGAATTAGCACTGGGCTGGCAGAGCAGAAGGGAGCAGAAGATTTGTATGTGGAGAATTGATGAGTATATATTGTAAAACAGCCAATTGATTGAAAACTCGACATGGAATAAGTAGGGGATAAGAATTGAAAGCTCACCGCCGTGGTCCGCACACCACAGCTATCTGACGAGGGAGGCTGGGATGCAGCAGCGGGAGTCTCGATAAACTCGAAGTCCTCAGAGGACTCGGAGTGAGCTCTCGCCATGATGGTATATGCTAGGCTGGCGGGCGGTAGGGAGGGAATTGAGGAGGAGGGAGGAGGGGAGATGAGAAGAGAAGAGGCGGAGGAGAGGAGGATATTCTTGTTGAGGCCGGAAGGTGAGCAAGCTCCCTGGGAAACACGTTGGAGCAAGGGACAGCCACGCACACAAAGACACCCACAAATAGTTAAACGAACTAATCATTAAGTCGTCAATGAGTCCACTGCTCGGCAGCATGTTGGATTGGCCAGCAGTGGGCGCAGACGCTAATAAACCGAACAAGACCTCAACAAATCGAAACTGCGAAAATTGAGGTCTAAGGACCCGGACTTTCTTCTGCGATCACGATTCTCTTATTACTGCAAAACCAACCCGAAAACAAATTAACATTATTAAAAGGTATTATGTGCTCAACCTCGGTCAGTTACGCCACCTCCGCAGTCCACTATTATTCGTAGCAGCAGTTCCGAAGGGTTCCTGTCTGTTGAACTAAATAAAGCAGCTTGCAGATCCAGACTATACAGCACAGCATGAGTGCAAAGCTGTCACGTAACATTGAATGCTTCAGGGGTCCCAGTCCCACCCACTTCTATTATTTATTCAGTATTGAATTCCTTTCTGAAGAATCAAGTCAAACCTAGCTATTAATTCTATTCCCCACCTAGGCCGTCCAGCACAACTGAACTCCACCGTAGGCACCCCCAACTGTGCTTCCTGGGGATTACTTCCTACAATTAACTACACCACAGGTGAAAAATACCGGTTGCTCCCAGTAAACGCCATTTCCCCGTTGCCAAATGTTTATAAAGTGCACGGTCATCTGTAGCTACTGCATAGTAGGAATCAACCAGAAAGGGAGACAAGTAGCAACAAAACCGCAACGCCAGATGCCCATCAGACGCCTATGATCGTTTGGAGTGACCCATCCAATAACCCCTAGTTTAAATGCCTTCGTTTAAAGAGAGAGAAGATAAGAAAGGACCGTTGTAAGTAAATCCACATCACAGCGTAAGCTGGAAATTCGCAGCCTCCTCATCCTCCATAGGGAATAGTGGGATTTCCTCCTCGCTCTCCACACGCTCAAACGCAGAATCAAATAACCCTGCAGCCTTGCACCGCGACCACATCTCGCTCCCAAACGGTGGGCTGCCATATAACTCCATGTATCTCTCTGGGGAGAGGATATCAGCCGGGTTGTTCGAGGCTGGGCCTTCCTGGTTCATGGAACTCTGCCGCTGCTGTTTCTTATTAGTGGTAGCAGCTTTTTGTCGCAAATTAGCCGATAACCTTCGCCCCTTGGAATATCCAACTGTAGTCCGTGAACTGGCTGTGGCAGCTGCATGGCGCATAGTCGACGGATTCGATGGTGTCTGCTGCTGGGGTTTTTTGGGACGGGAGAAACCCGACGAGAACCTGACCTTGGGTTTAGGTTTCGGCTTCAGCTTTGGCACAGGTGGAGCAACTGTAGGCCGTGACTGGTGAGAGAGCATCCTTGCGGCATTGCGCGACCTGACAGTGGAAATGGATCGGTCCACGATGACCCTTTTGGCTGGTTGTTGTTTCTGCTCACGTTTCCTCATGATCTCTGCAGCCACCTCTTCAGCACACGGCTCGTCGGGGAACTGGCGGACATTGATCCCCAGCAGTTCCATGTTGTCGACTTGCTCCTGGATTAGAGCGTCCATCCGCTTATCAGAGGCTTCCTGCTCTGCTTTGATTTCTCGCTGCTTCCTGGTCAATCCATCTTCCCCGACTTCCTCGTCAACGAATAACTTATGCCACCCGCGTGTACGGTTCTTGCCTTTGAATTGTGGGAAGTCTGTGTTGTAAGGGATGTCTTCAGGAGGGTCTGGCAATGCTGTTGGAAATAATTTTGTTAAACACAAATAAGTTAAACGAGATATCGTAATCAAATTTGTTGGAAGGGGAGGGGCGGAGGGGGTATTTATAAACATACGTGTTGGTTTGGGGGGCATATATTCAATATCTGGAACATCGTCCTTTTCGTCCTCTACAGCAACGACTTTGGGCGGACCTGGCAGCACTTCAGGGGTACTCTGCTTCAATTTTCGAGTCGCTGAAGGTCGCTTTGTGGTCTTGACTGGTTTAGATGTACCCAAACGGGGTGCTGGGGTTTGGAAAGCTTGCGCCTTCGCATTTGTCGTTTTCACTCCTAAGGGAGCACGACTTCGTGGGGCTATACCAGAAAGAAAAGAGGCTGTCAGATCCGGCTGCACTCTATCGAAACGCAGAGAATAGCAAGAAAAACTCACCCATAGGCGTAACGAACGCATTCCCACCAGCAATTGCATCCTGCCCTGACTTCAGGATATTCTCGTTCTGTCCATTATTCGGTTTTCCTGTCTTCCTTCCCCCTCCAAAGACCAGAGGATTATTCTCGTCATTCAGGGATAGCCCGAAGGGTGTTTTCGGTGCTCTGCTACCGGGTGTCTTTGGCTGCAGCTGTCTGGTACTCTGGTTCAGGGGTTTGGCAGCAGCAGCAGTCTGATGAGCATGGACAAGGTTTTCTTGATCTCTTGCGGCCAGCATTTTGAGTTGAGCGATGTGTTTCACTTCCAACAGGCGGACTCTCCCACCAGATGTGAGGGAGCAATATCTTGAATGAATCACGTCTGAAGAGTAGACGCAACAGAGTTGTGATTCCAACGAGACTGGCTTCCCTTCTGGCGGGTTCAGCAGTCAATGTTTTTTGACTTCTCTGTTGGCAGGGAAACCGCGTGTCTCTTACATAACACATTACCTAATCCATCATTCGTGCACGCTAACTTGCTAGTCAACTAACTCTGCCGCTAACTCTCTTGCTTTGACCCGCTAACCTTCCCATGCAACTTGCTGACCCTCACCCAACAAATAATCGTCGGACATCCCTCATCTTGTCTTGTATCTTCTGGTCTCTTGTTTCTGCCTCCTGTCTCTCGTGGCTCTCTATACCCAACCAGCTACCACGTCTTTTATTCGTCTGCCTCGTTGACCGAGCACTCTCTTGTTTACACTCTCTTCACTTAAAACTCGACCGCCCTACCAAACATCTTTCAACATGGATAGAATCAAGGAGGTCTGTATTCCCTGTCTGTTTATCGCGGGGTAACATCGAAGCGGGTGGCCCCAGAGCTTTCCTCCATTTCCACTCAAACCTCCTATAGCAATCGGATCTCTGAAGGGAAGAAAAGGAGGGGTGGGGAGAGTGCGGTTCTTTCCATTGCATTCGCTCACTCCCAATTAAATTACTTAAATAGATGTATTTTAAAGCTGACCTTTGTCTACTTTTTTCCCCTATTGGGAAATTTAGAAAATGAACACCCTCCGTCTGGAGGCCGACGATGCCCACGCCAAGGTTGAGGAGCTACAGAACAAAGTCAAGGCTCTCGAGCAGGAGAATCTGGCAAAGGAACAAGAAATCAAATCTCTCACTCACCGGAACCAGCTGCTGGAGGCCGATGTCGAGAAGCTTGAGGCTGATCTGAAGGATGCCAAGGCATCGGCCTCCGAAAATGCTCAACACGGTACACAGAACGAGTCTCTGCAAAGACGTCTGCAGCTCCTCGAGGAGGAGGCCGAGGAAACTGACAAGACCCTTCGTGAGACGAATGAGAAGTACGTATTGGTTATTTCCCCCGTTTTCCATTTGAATTTCCTAGATGTATTCTGTTGATATAAGGCACTGATTGACTCAACCACTTGCTATTGACAAATAGGCTTCGCCAAACTGACGTCAAGGCTGGACATTACGAGCGCAAGGTCCAGGCGCTTGAGACTTCCCGTGACCAATGGGAGGCTAAATATGAACAGATGTCGAAGAAGTATGAGGATTTGCAGAAGGAGCTGCGGGACCTGGAAACTCTCATGGGCAATGTGTAGATGATGGGGGAGGGGGCGGGGTGTATACGAATATATTCATATCAAGTTTCTTCTTTCTAATTCATTTCCGCTTGTGTCGCTCTCTCCATCCTTGATTACGATCTTGTGCTTCCAGCTTGCGGTTTAAAATGTCAAAAGAAAGAAATCTTCCAAAGAACGTGTCACTGTTCTGGTGCTGAAGCTACTGTATTGTGTTCTCTATTTTATTCCCCAATTTTACAAGCATGATTTACTTTCCCGACTGGTATATACAAAGCCTTAATGAGATTTGATAAGTTGTTGTAGCCATTTGCCCAACGCATCCGCCCATAAACCCTTCAGATGGCAAGGGTCAAATCCGCTCACATTCATAAAAGTTTCAATCAGCTTATTTTATTCCATTAAATACAATTCAATAGAATACATACTTCGCACATGTCTTCGGGAATTTATGCCCCCGCTTTCCTCTCCCTCGCCCGCTTCTTCCCACCAGCCCGCTCCCTCAGCTTCGCTACCCTCCGCTCCGCTTTATTCTCGTATCGGAAACTCCGCTTCTTCTTCTTCTTCTTCGAATTACTTTTCGGCCGATCTGATATATTATTCTTATCACCATCACCACCTCTGTTCGTGTTCTTGCTCTTGTTCTTGGTCCATACTCGTTTTTTCACCCTCGATGTATCCCCACCATCCTCCCGCCCTCCCTCCTCTACCTCATTCCTCGTCTCCCCATCATCACCACTTTCTCCTTCGTCGCTACTCTCCATATCAACCCTCCTCCTCAACCCTTGCCGCGAAGAAGCATCCAACTCTTCCACCGTCACCGTCGTATATTTATCCTCGTCGATATATTCCTCTTCATAATCCACTGGTGGCGGCTCGGTTATTCCCCCCCACTCCTCATCAATAATAATATTATCATTACTCTCCCCGCCTTCATCAGAACCACTCTCCCCGGCGGCAGCCCGACTTATCTCCCGCATCAACGATCTGTTCTCCGCGAGGGCCCGTTCGAATTCCGCACGGCGCTCGTCTCGCATCTATTCATTTCTCTCCGCAAAACTTAATTAATACACCCCATCACCAAACGTAATCTCTCTCCCCCTTCTCAAACAAAGTCATTATCAAAGAGAAGGAGAAATAAGGTTTTTTTTTTTTTTTTTTTTACTAACCCGCCGCCTCTGTTCCTTCTTCTCCTCCTTTGCTCTCTTCTGCGCATTCTCCTGCGCCTGCTTAGCGCGCTCGAGCTTGCGTTTGTGAAAACCTGTCAGAAACTCCGCCCGCGCCTGGGGATCGAAGAGGATCTCCTGCACGGCGTTAGGGTGGGAGGCGGCCAGTTTTCGCCTTTTGGCCGAAGGCGCCATTTTGTGCTTTCCGATTGTGTTTGGGTGGTTATTTTCGATTGCTTGGGTTTTTGTCGGTTTCGCAGGCAAATTATCGGGTACTAGATACGTATGGGATTTGGGAAAGGATAAATTAATTAGGAGAGGAGAAAGAGTGTGTTCGTTGAATGGTTGTTTTATTTAACTAGCTACTCGTATTTCGTCAATATCTCCACCAGCGAAAAAACAGAATTGAAGCTTCTGCGGTGCCAAGGAACCGAATATGCCAAGCCCTAAGATTCACACATCCCGATCTAGATATCCTGCATCAACTTCTCCAGGCGTGCGAGAACTGATTCAAATCAATATTCATCACGGATATTACCTCTACTAATTTCTCATATCTAGTGGGCTATCCCTTACGGAGGACTAGTATCTGTTCTTATAATACATGTAGCTGAATGCGGAGGATTTTGGTATGGAAAGGCTTGCTCGCAATGTCAAATCCTGACGCAACATCAAAAAAGAAAAGGCTTTAAAATTCAGATGGAGTGTGCTGCCGCTCTAAGGCATATGCCAGACAGCCTGGCTACCTTCCGCCTGCGGATGGGGTTTAGTCGATCCGCAAACAAATATGCAAGTTATGCTATGAAGGAGATGCAATTCTCCCACATGGATCGAATAAAAAAACAAAAAAATCCATTGGATGTTGAAGGGTGTGTGCGAAGGGTATGCTCCGGTCTTCCAGAGCCATCTGATTTACATCCTCAACAACCAGAACCCGGAATTATGAAAACGATAAAATGGGAAGGTTGCTTGCTCTACCTGGGTGTGATGCCAGAGGCGCAAAACTTGCGTAAGAGATGGGTCGGGGGTGGCACATGAAGACGACGGCTACCCGTTCCATTCGGAATTTCTATGGCTCGAGGGATCTAGAATCTCGGTCGATGCTTTAACAAACCAGACGCCGGGCCAGATTCGGGCAGCTTTCGGTTCGGTTCCAGTGAAGTTTGTGTGCTGCGGGAAGAAGTCATAGTAGAGAAACAAACAACACTATCTCGCTAATCTGGAGCTAAATTCTAGTATGAAGCCATTTGCCACTCTTGGGTGGTCGGTCTTTGGTGCCATTCAACTTTCTCGATTTGTCTTAAATTCATGGTAGGGAAAATTCAATCCGGCACTTCTTAAGATGAATGAGTGATGAAGAGTTCAAGTTCTGATGTTCTTGGGGGTTTGTCATACAACGCTATACTCTTCTTCGTTAGATTCCAGAACGCACGGATCTTCTCGGAATGTTTGCCACAGCGCCCCCAAGTCGGCGGCTGACTAATAAAACAGCCTATATAATTGCAAATGAAGGAGCATACACTGCCTTCGGGCATCTGGTCATATAGAAACGATACAGAGAAGATTAGCATGGCCCCTGCACTAAGGATGACACGCTCAATCAAAGAGAAGCTACAAGTTTTTTTAAATTTTCCTTACCGATGCCTTTGAAAGGCTCCAGCGTTTTTGGCGTGGTTTTCGAATGAGGCAGTGACATCGCGGGTTCGAAACTGGGCGACGCCGGAGGCATTTTATTTCAAGGATAGATCAGCAGGATCGCAACAGAAACGATTTTTCTCGATCCTTTCAAGCATGGATTCAACCCATCCTGTTGCAAGGTCTAGAAGGTCGATTCCATGTGGCGAAAGGGACAGCATCCAGAACCCATTGAGTTGTTTTCATGAGCCTAAATAAAACCTAACATATTTAACGCTGCTTATTCTCAAACTCTCCGCTCACAAAGACAAAAAAGAATCCGATCAATTGCGAATTTGCGCTACGGGGGAATACTAGTGAGTTGGAATGGAGCCGGAGTTGGGTAAAAACAAGGTTCCCAGGAGTAGGAGTGGAGGAAGCGAGTGGAACTTTCGTGTGTGCATGGACGCAGTGCAAACGGATAAATAATTGGTTTGACAGATGATCCTCGATTTCCTTGATAAAATACCCAGACCCGAGAAGTGTGACCGTTTAATTACGGAGTACAGGTTATACATGTGAATGATACAATAATGACGGGAGAATAGCAAGAAATACCAGACTAGTTTTCCAGGGTTCTTGTTTTGTGTGTTAATGTGCTGTACGCAGGGTACGTATCTATCGATTTTATTCCTACTCCCGATCCTACAGTATGGATGAGTTGGTTTGAGCATCATGTATCTCAAGCAGCTTGTTGTCCCTTCTCCCAGCATGGGTGCAGTGCGCTGGTTGGCAAAAGACAAAGGAGATAGAATGGATGGCTACTTAGTACCTCCCTTCTCCATGCGCCTTGCTGTGTTCACGGTACATATATAGGTACTATAAGTACGGCATGATAATTGAGCTTGAGCATACGGGTAGTAGTCAGCAGGACAAACAGAAACAACCATAATTTCCAAATTGGCCTTTTTTTTTTTTTTGGCAATGTTGTCGAGGATTCGGCTATTGGTGCCGATTTGTAGCTTTATACTTTTAGCTATATATGTATTTAGATATATAAATATCCATGCTCTCATACGGCGCCTGGCTTTTCTTGTTGCCTCCCCTGGTCTCTCTGCTACGGAGCTTCGAAATCTACCATGAAACAAAAGAAATAATAATACTAAATCACCAATGCGAAATGATAGTATACTTACTATGTATAGATTAACACACACACACAACACACACAACACACACACATACACATACATATCTCTACATACCCATCTCTTTCTGTGAGAAACCTAGCTCTTTAGCTTGCGACTCGCAATACATAAGTGCCTCCCTGCTATAGGTACATGTACATGTACCTATCCTCATAGCTGTTGAGAGTGTGTACTCTCCCAATAATACCCCAACTCCTTCCTCAAAACAGGGGGTGAAAATTCCTCCCAAATTACTCAACTATCTCCGATGACGGGCAACAGCGTCAGCATACAACTTGACAGTAAGAAAAAAAAAAGAGGAAACTCCCTTCAGACCCTTGCGTTTTTCCCTCGTGGGAATAAAAGCGGCGAAAAAATCACTGCTAACAAACATTAATATCAGTGTCCCGAAATTCCCACCGGCCCATATTCCTCAACGACAGTTGTGTGGTAGGGACCGTGGTCGTTGACAACTGCAACAGCGCACGGTTTGATTCCGTGAGGGTTATTCTGGAAGGTTTGTTATACGTCCTTGCCTGCCTCCTCCAGCCATCGCTCGGCACCCTAGGCTTTTCTCCAGCGGCATCAGACCTGGGCGGTATGAGTTAAGATATACGGCTTGAAAAAAACTAGGCACGATACGCAATTCTCTCGGCCCATCATCAATGGCATACGCACAGGCCAGTCGCATGGAAATGAAACAGAAGGTAACTCGAATCGCTGGGCCCCCTCCAAATTTACACAACTATTACGCCCACAGGGACTGATACTCACATGCATATTATATATATATATATATATATAAAAGCTCATCCACATGCAAACCTCGCTGCAGAGAAGAAACCACCAGCCGGATGACCAAGGAACAGTAAGGTTTCCGTTCCAATTCACCATCCCCAGCCACATCCTCATCCCCAAAAGCGGCGGCGCTTCGGCCATAGAAATGGTCCACCCGCTCCCCCCTTCGCTCTGCATCGATGCCGGCAGCGTCGCCCCCCTATCGATCGAACGGAATAACTTCCGTGGCGACTGTAGGATCACATATACGCTGCATGCCTATCTCATGTGCGACGGCAGGCCGACCACGGCGACGTTCCGGCATGTCATGCTGTTTCCGACGCAGGAGCCCCAGCCGCCCTCATGTACGAGCGATTTCCCCGGGGATTATATATTATCACGATCAGCTGTGTTGAGGACCGGGATGCTTTTTCGACGGCGGGGTTTACTGTCTGTAGAAACGAGGGAGCCGGCGCCGCTTGAGATGAGTAGGGGAAAGAGCGGGGCATCGACCACCGTCAATCTGACGCTTAGATTTCGCGAGTCGCGAGAGATAAGGAGCGCGTGTGGCTCCATGCCGCCGGCGACTCCGGCTTTTGGTGTGGTTTCTTTAAAGTTGAAGCAGACAACGTTCATCTCTGTTGAGCCCCAGCGACGATTGCCGGCAACCCGAGACCTATTGACGTCGACGGTTATGGTGAAGGATACGAAGATTATCCATGAGCAGTCGCGGAAGATGAAATTTTCGCCGTGGGTAAGAAGTAGATGGAAAGAGGAGCATCAGGCGCAGTGCGCAGGTAACTTTGGATCACAATTATTATATTATTCTCTAATTTCAGTTAGATGAAATGGTTTGCTGATAATTCCCTTTTCCATTGCTTCCGCACAATGACAGCTCAAGAAAGACGGGCTTGGGAAACGAAAGTAACGCTCGTTTTCACGTATTCAGATGATAAACGTCCTGTCCCCACTTTTAGCTCGGCGCTGGTATCCCGGCGGTATAGCGTTCGCATTGCCCTACATATGGAAGGGGTTTACCACAGGGCTTTGGAGTTGGAAGTACCACTTCAGATCATCTATAGGGGACATGGGCAGGTCCCATTGCCGAACGAAGGAGAATTGGGGAATTTAGAACCTGCGCTGTCTGATGAAACACTGATGCTGCCGGGGGAATCGCGATTTGATACTAGTACTTCTGACAACGAACAGGCACCAGATTATGTTCGGTGAGTTTGGGGGAGAAGTGTTCTCGAGAACGGGAGATTATGCATGAGAGCTAGTAGATAGATGTATATTCCAGTAATAAAATACTATTTCTATATGATTGTGTTGAGGAAATATGTGAAGAATATACATTGACATCCAGGTACTCCTTTTACGCATCTTCAAACAGGAGTTACCTGAATGTGAAAAGTTGTGGGAGTTGCCAAAAGGACGGTGACCTCATGTTTGTCTTGTTTGTTCCTTCAAAGAAGTAAGTTACGTCTCGTCTTTATGTAGAGTTGCACCTTTCTAATGCAAAAACAAGAAGCCAAATAAAGCTGGGTATGGCGTCGTCTGTTCATGTCTCAACTATCATCTCTCCACATTCGCCAGTTCTGCTTGCATGGATCGCCAATACTTCTGACGCGAAGTCTACCTATTTGAGAAATTAGCAGGGCAAACTACTAACTAGTACCTCGTTTGGAATACCACGGCCTCATGATGAACGACTCAAGCGGAATGCAGAATGGACTGCGGGGCCAGAGTGAAATCAACAACACTGATGGCCCTTCTGCTCAGACTCTGTTCAATACGATAATTCGTGCCGTAAGGGATGCTCTCCAGGAAATTCATCTAACATACGACAACATTAACGCATTCGACGCCTCGATCGAGGTTGGTTCTCTTCAGGAAAACCCACTATTCGAATCTGTTTGCCCAAGGTTAGTATTGTATCCTCCCTTGCTTCCCTGCCTGACTGAGAGCCGATATGGACAAGCCATCAAACAAATGCGACGGTACGAATGCCTTTACTACGTTGAGCTACAACGCTATTTGTTCCCAAGGCGCTTGATATAAAATCCACGCCTACGCGAACCTACGACTGTCATCAGGCATTGCTTTGCAAGGATATCGACAATATGAAAGCAACGCAGTTCATAACAGCTGCTGGATTCGACAAGCTGGATTTGATGCTTGGAACTAGTATATAATTATCATCTGCAACAACTATGTTATGGTTGCTGATTTATATCCATCAAATTTAAGCCATTCAGAGGTTCCAAGGCCGATATGCAGGCTCAGTAAAAGAGCCGGACATGGGCATTGTGCCCGAACGCGAATATTTTCCGACTGTGGCTATCGAGTCAGGATGGTCTCAGCGTCTCACTCGGTTGAATCATGACATTGTGGTTGCCCAGTACGCTGTGGCTGGCGGTCGCAGTGTATAGGTGGTGGGATGGGCGGCCACGCCCACGGGTATATATATCACTATGAGCGCAAACCATTTAACAAATGGTTACGTTGACTTTTGCTATGGATAATCTAATGGTCATGGTGCTATCTTACCACAACATGCAGCTCTGGTTAGTCGGGTCAGCTGGAAAAGTCGAATTGGTGATTTTGTTAAAATGGATCAAAGCGGAAGGGAATTTGTCAAGGGAAAGATCGAGACTTGGGACATGGATTCTGATTCTGAAGGCAGCGAAGTCTTGTTGCAGCGCGAGGTAAGCTAGTTTTTGTGTAACATCTTCTCCACAGCACAAATGACTGACGACAACCTATACGTAGGAGATTTTCCCGGAACCCCAGACTGGAGGTTCGGACCAGGTTATCCGAGTTAGTAAGACACAGCTCTTTGGCAGCACGCTCCCCGCAGGACGGAATCCCGATGATGTTTTCGGGCTTTCCGTATCCAATCTCCGCTCCAAAGTTGCCATCACAATGCAGCATGATGGTTGCAGACCAGCGTCAAGCACGAACACTATAAAATGGCATTGAAGAATGACTTTTCTATTATTTTCTACTTTCGTGTTATCTCGCGCTTTTTCCCTTCGTTTCAAGGAGGTAATCGTCGAATCAGGTAGGGCTGGGGATCAAGAATCAACCTGTCCAGAACCATTAACGAAAAAGCATCTGTTGTTGTATTAGTATGAATAGCCCGAATTAGTGACCAAGTTCTTAATGTAGTGTTCTATCTAGTTAAATATGTGTGTATGCTGGTTGATTTTTCCGCCTTTCTCGCTGGCATTTCAGATTGGGAAAGGCCTCGGCAGAGACAAATTTCGGCATGCCAAGACGACCGATGCGGCTAGCTCCACCCCCCAGCGATTGGAATTGCCGAAGCCCGAAGTCGCTGGCCTCCGCATTGGCGCTTTCTCCTCCGCCATCAATGATCTTGATATCCATGATCTCCAGCTTCAGCGCCATCTTGCACCTCACAGCGCTGTATCCTCACTTCCGTTAGGCCATTCGTTTGCCGTTGAGCTTTGGGATCTGTTTTTGGGGAGCGTACCAGTGTCATCCGTTGTTTTTTTCTGGGCTGGCCTCTCGTCAAGTCGCCAATCATGCCGGCTCAATCGCCGTACCCGCCATTAGAGATTCCAAATATCGATGTATGGACTCTTCTTTTCGAGAATAAGTGGGAGCCTTTCCCTGATGATCAAGGTTTGTTGATAGATGCAATCTCACCGATCAGCCGTTTAGAAGCTAAATCCAAACTCTCTTAACTTCTACTAATGCGCTGACGAATAGTGATGCTCGAGGATGCCGATACCCTCCGCTCATACACCTATTCCCAAGTGAAGTCCACCGCCCTGGACTTTGGAATAGGTCTAAAGGCCAATTGGGATTGGCAAAAGGGCGACGTCTTAGCCATCATCTCCCCCAACAACATCGACATGCCCCCCGTGATGTGGGGAGCCCATTGGGCTGGCGGTGTCGTCTCCCCAGCAAACCCGACTTATACCGTGGATGAATTGGCCTTCCAGCTCAAGGGGACAAACGCCAAAGCGCTCGTTACTCAAATGGCGCTCCTGCCCACTGCCACCGCCGCCGCGAAACTGGCCGGGATTCCTGACAGCCGTATCATCCTGCTGGGCGATGCGCGGGACCCGAGTGCGAAGTTTAAACATTTCACCTCAGTGCGGAATATATCGAAAGCCACGAGATATCGCAAGACGCGCATCGATCCAGCGAAGGACCTGGCCTTTCTGTGTTTTAGTTCGGGGACGACCGGTGTGCCCAAGGGCGTTATGCTGTCGCATCGCAATATCGTTTCGAATATCCTACAGTTTACTGCTGGAGAGCTGGGAAACCTGAGCTGGGATAGAGATAAAGTGTTGGCTTTTCTACCATTCTTCCACATATACGGTACACACCCGCCTATTCCCAGCCCTCCTTGGTTCAAATTTTCTTTATCGTCCGCAGTATCTAATGTGCAAAACTTCAGGGTTGACCTGCATCATTCATAAATCCATGTACACTGGCTTGCATCTGGTAGTAATGTCCAAATTCGACATCGAAAAATGGTGCGCCCACGTCCAGAAGTTCCGCATCACCTTCTCCTACATCGTACCCCCCGTCGTCGTCCTCCTCGCAAAACACCCCGTCGTCGACAAGTACAACCTCTCCTCCCTGAGACTTCTGAACTGCGGTGCAGCGCCGCTCAGTCGTGAACTCGTCGAAGCCATGTCCACCCGCATCAAGACGGGTGTCAAGCAGGGCTACGGTCTCAGCGAGACGAGCCCCACAACCCATACGCAAACATGGGCGGATTGGGACAAATACATCGGCTCAGTTGGCCGCTTGCTACCGAATCAGGAAATCAAGTATATGACTTCGCCCGACGATGGCTGCGAGCCTGTCGAGCTGCCCATTGGGCAAACAGGAGAGATCTATATCCGTGGCCCCAACGTCTTTCTTGGATACTTGAACAACCCAGAGGCGACGGCGCAGTGTCTTTCCGCCGATGGCTGGTTCCGCACCGGCGATGTTGGACATCAGGACGAGCATGGTAATCTATACATAACCGATCGCGTCAAGGAGCTCATCAAATACAAGGGGTTCCAGGTTGCCCCGGCGGAGCTTGAGGGTATTCTCATGGAGAACGAGGCGATCGATGACGCTGCGGTCATTGGAGTTGAGAGCGAAGAGCATGGTTCTGAGGTACCGCGCGCCTACGTTGTGTTGAAAGACAAAGCTGCGGGGCCCGCGGCAGAGAAGGCGGAAGCGGAGAAGATCATGAATTGGCTTGCGGGTAAGGTGGCTCCTCATAAACGGCTGCGCGGAGGGGTGAGGTTCATCGACGAGATTCCTAAAAGCCCCAGTGGGAAGATTTTGAGACGTACACTGAAGGAACGGGCGGAAAAGGAGAATGCTGATGGTCGGATGAAGGCCAAACTGTAGCCCATCCTAATTTTCCTTTGGGCATTTCATTCTTTCGGCTTCCTGTTTGCGCGAAGCTTTTAGTTTCCAGGCTAATAAATTTAGCCTGTGACCTTTCGATTCGGTGATCCTGGTTAGTTTGCGTGCGATTTTTAGAGGTAAAGATTCTAGAGTAGAGTATATCTGTACTTATCTATATATATATATGTGTGGGTTTGAGTCTAACATCGCTTTTGTCTCCTTTGCTTCCCTTGAAATGGAATAGTTTAAAAGGCGGTGAACCAATCTTTTCGAAAGATGTCCATGCAACAATAGAGAAATAATTGCTTTATGTAAATTTTATAGCCCGCAAGTGAATATCTTTAAGATTGAATAATAGCTATTCAAGTAACCAAAAGGAGTCTAAGCCATGTATTAAAATAATTTTGCACACAAGATGTTTCCCTATGACCGACTTCATCGGTATTTATTGCTATCAATAGGAAACACGAAAACCCATATTTGGAGCACATAGATGATGAAGCTTTCCCCGACATGCAAAAATTAGTTGTCTCCCTCTCCCCCGCTGTCCCAACTAGCCCTCCATTACAAACGAACAAAGCAAGCAGCGTGTTCAAAATACTTGGAAAAAAAAAAAAAAAAAACCCCGAATACCCCAAAACATGCGATCCCGTTTCTCTAGTAAGTGAAGAACAAGAGAAACGTGGCTTATGCCTCGCATTGTTGATAAAGCGGAACCTCTTGGCAAAGCTCATTGGCCGGCTTCGTGTTATCGTCGCAAAGGATCTTGCACTCGGTAGATTCGGGAGTGAAGACGAGGTACTCGAAGTTCTTGAATGGCAGACGGAATTGCTTGTTGATGTTGTCGTTGTCCTTGCTGGCCTTGTAGCCAGCCCGGCAGGCACAGTGGAAGCGCTTGCCCGTGTTGATGCAGGAAGTGGTTATATCACAGTGGTTCTGGCCCGAGATAGGGTTGCAGGTGCCGCAGACGGGGGCGGGATGTGGCTTGGGCTTCTTATGAGTAGGGTACTTATCAATAGGGTGCTTGTCGTCAACGGGATACTTGTGAGTAGGGTATTTGTCGGTGGGATATTTGTCGGTGGGATATTTGTCGGTGGGATATTTGTCGGTGGGATATTTGTCGGTGGGATATTTGTCGGTGGGATGCTTGTCGTCAACGGGATACTTGTGAGTAGGATATTTGTCGATGGGATATTTGTCGGTGGGATATTTGTCGGTGGGATATTTGTCGGTGGGATATTTGTCGGTGGGATATTTGTCGGTGGGGTATTTGTCGGTGGGGTACTTGTCGGTAGGGTACTTGTCCGTGGGATACTCTCCCGGACGAGCAGCCACGAGGAGGGAGGAGCTGGCAAGGAGAAGGAGGGTTGAGATCGATTTGATGTTCAGCATTTTTGCGGTTGATTATTATTGAGCTGCGATTAAAATGGGTTTTGATATATTGTAAGTCGATTGGGAATGATGGAAGAGCTTTTCTACATTAAATATATGTATTGGAAAAAATAAGTATTTGTAGATCTTCGACTCAGGGAACGAACGACTGGGTGCTTGTAAAAAAAAAAAAAAAAAAGGAAAAAGAAGAAGTAAAAAGAGAGCAAATTCGCACCTTTTTATATCTTTGAGCCTTCTCCGTGGCCTGCTTTCAACCCCTCTCCAGCATCCTACCCGCCTGGTTCCTGATAGGCCATGTTCAAAAACCTGTCCATTCAATAGGCAGTGTCTCATCATGGGCAGGCTAACTGATGCCAGCAACAGAAACATGGACAAGAGTCAAATTCAAAATAGAATAATATATGACGTCTGTCCACACAACTAGCCAAATCAATGGGAAGTATGGCAGTGTACCAGTACTCAGAGTTGCCTTCGTAGCAAGAAGCTGTGGTAACACATTATTGCATCACTGCGCTGTGGTAAAGCTGCAACTTGGTGACTTATCGAACCATCTATGAATCACGCCTAGACCACTAGCGCCCCGTCACATACGAAGGGCTATGCATGGCTGTGGATTTTCAATGAGCTGAATGCACGATCAAGAGAGCACCGAAAATGTCGCAAAGCGAACGAATTATTTGTTCGCAAAACTCTATCTGTCAGGGCCCAAAGGTTAAATAAACATGGGTTGCTTGAACAAGGTACAGGCGAAAGGAGAATCGACGAAGTGGATACTCCATGAAAACATAATTCTGTCGTCCTGGATTCTCGATTCGATTTTTCCAAGGTTATCTGTTGTCTTGAATGAAATCAAGATACAACACTTCCAGATCTGCCGACATCGAGGAATGTACGACCTGTATGTATTCCATTGGAAGTAGCCACCAGTTCTTGCGATTGTAGCCGAAGCGTAGAAAGATTTGAGTGAAAACCAGTACTAGCTCCGTACAACGCCGGCTTTGGAGAGACAAGATGCTTCAGCTTCAGCTTCAGCCTCGGGATCGCAGGGATCAGAGTCGATGGGACGAACCAGCAAAGCAATAGCCATGTACTGTCCTCGTGCATTGTTATCAAGATTTCGGCTATGCATCCCTGACGATGGTGGTGATGTCGTTGAGTTGAGGCTGCAGTCGGGCGATCCTTGCCGCGAGTGGAAACAGCGAAAATCTGGGGTAGCTGGGGGGACGCTGTGATTGGTTCGATGATGAAGAAAGCGGAGCCTCTTGCGGCTGAATAAAGCTTAGTGTTGTTTATATTTGGGACTTCTATTCCTGGCCGCTAAACCGGAAATGGAAATCCAGATCGGCAATCTGCAGAGCCTCCAGCCCTAAATTCGATCATGATCGAGTCATTTATTCTCAATTCATTTACTACTAACTAGTTAAGACTATTTGACCAAGGATTGCAACCCTATTCCCCTTGTTTGGCAAATCTCCTGGATGGTCCTGGTTTTTGATCTTGTGTGGGTGCCATGCAAATATTCCTGAAGCCCGATTATCCTTTTACCACTCACAAATATCAAATATTGCACCTCTAGGCCGTTCCGCAGCAGAGGGCAAACGCCGCATTCTTTCTCCAGAAGAAGAGAAGAGAAGACAATAGAAATATACAGCCGTCAGCTGCATCTGCTTTATGCCATCGAGTCAAATATAGTTAATGATACAGATCGACTTTGGTTCAAAACATCAGAAACCCAGCAAATTAGAATGCAGGGTTCACCTGCAGGACCGGCCCAGGATGTAGTTCGTTCAACGATCTCTCCTGTAGAATACGAAGGGAAAAGACAGGCACCCTTTCTCTGCTCAAAGTGCATAATGATATTCCTTTGCTTTCCTTCTTTTTTTTCTTTTTCCTGTCCTTTTTGCTTTTTCATTTGCCTCCTGTTTTTGAGACAATGTTCGAATCGAGCCTTAGCAGGATCGAGTCGTGATCGCTCAACCATAACGCATTTCATGGTTGCAAGAACCAATCATCCATCATTTGCAGTTGCTCATGTTGTGCGAAATCAAGTCTGGATTTTTTGCTCTTCTTGCCACAGATCCCACCAAACTGCTGTCTGCATTCTTCGTTGGTCGGTTTCTCCCCGCTTCCCATGTAACTCTCACATTCATGCTAACTCCATGTCTCCATGTTGTTCCAAAACGATCCGCGGTCACACAGATGTCTCAGAGGTTTGCGGCACTGCTCCCTCGTGTTTTGGGTCCAAAACCCCGCTTCTCGTTTGTGTTTCCTCACGAAGTAGGACAGAGTTTCTATCTATATAACTTTTCAAGTGGTATTTTCATCTTGTCAATAGCTCGAGCTGTTCGATTGTGACAGGTGAAGATCGGTAGACATGCCACGTCTTCCTATCATTCTTCCATCACTTGTTGAAGTACAGTTGTGACAAACTAAAATGCCAACCGAAAAGGAAAGCTCAAGATCTATATACCTTGCAGAATTGGTTGACCTGGGAGTTGTTGAACGCTTTTGACTTTTATCCATCAAGAGAGAGATCAACTCAATGGGAAACTACGAAATTATTTCCGGCCCAAACATACAATTTCTTTCGATATCTTGTCAAGTCTTTCCGGCTTGTGCTAACGTTGCCATTCATCAAAGACCAGTGATTATTATCACATGTCAATATTTAGAGAAAGCACTTTGCTTGCTAAAATCCCTTTTCATAATTTAGTGGATTAAGGTTCAAAGCGTCAAAATAAAAAGAGCTTTTTCTTGATATTCTAGAAAATCCTTCCTGCCCTATCAACGCCCTGCCAATATTCATGGACGAATAAAAACACATCGCATACATAACCTTGCATAAGAAGCGAGACGCATTTCAAGCAAAAGGTGAACCAAATCAGATATATTATTGGACTGGATATCTGTGACAAAGGAATATATTAGAGACATCCTGTACCTAGAAGGAGACAACGTTCGGGAAAATTCCTGCATGGCAGGATCCCTGTTTCCCCATCATTCCAAATCAGAGCTTTGATTGTCTCATATAAGGTTCATAAGCTCGTCATCTTCGATCTCAACGAAAACAAGGCGAGTCCCATTGCCGATAACTTGCCAAACCTAGAAGAGAAAGGGGATAAGTATTTAACACGATGACAATGTTCAAGGGATACAGAGCGTAGGAAAACCTAAGAACAGGGGACACAACAAAACTCACGTTTAGGCTCGTGTATTCGTCAATAGTCTGGCTGAGCTGATCATCCGTGAAGCCTTTCGCTAGGACACGTTCTCTCACTCTCCGCATGCTTAACTCCCCTTCGTTCCCATCTTCCACGGCCGCAGCACCACTCTCTCGCATACCCCGGATGAGGTTGTATATCTTGCTCATAGGGCTCTGATCACCATCACCCTGGGAATCGTGGTATAAGCTCGCCTTGCTCACTGCGGTTAGTCGTAGAGCTTCATCCACGTCTTCGGTAATCACTTCCTCGCTGAAGCGAAGACGGGCGAGAGCTTGTGATAGACGGAGTATACCTAGAAGGGTACGTGGAGATGTGTGTGAGAATTGCTTCTTGCTGGCCTCGTTGCGCTTTTGTTCTTGGCGCAGCCGAACGTAGGAGCCAACCATATAATCGGATACTCGTTTGGGGACGTTGGGTCGGTAGGTACGAGCTTTAGCAATATATTGTCGGATTTCGTGGGGTGAGAAAACTACGTTATTTTCGTCCGTCTCAGGATGCTTATTGTGCATATGGACGTATGCGACGTGATTAGCAAGCTCTTCATCAGCATCGCGAGAAGGCGTATCCAACATTAAGAACAGGACATCAAATCGGGAGAGCAGGGCAGCCGGGAGGTTAATGTTCTCAACCGGTGATATGCGCGGGTTATATCGGCCGTAGAGGGGATTGGCTGCTGCTAGAATCGATGTGCGAGCATTGAGTGTGGTTGAAATGCCAGCTTTGGAAATGGATATTGTTTGTTGTTCCATGACCTCATGAATTGCAGTTCGGTCCCCATCGTCCATTTTATCGAATTCGTCAATACAACATATTCCATTGTCCGCCAACACCAAAGCACCCCCCTCTAGCACCATCTCATCTGTAACGGGATCACGCATCACCGCTGCAGTAAGGCCGACACCGGTGCTTCCGCGTCCAGTAGTATAAACACCACGGGGAGCAACTTTAGTGATGTACTTCAATAACTGAGATTTGGCAACGCCAGGATCACCCATAAGACAGATATTAATATCACCACGAATACGCATTCCATCTCCCATTTCTTTGGTGACTCCTCCAATCAAAAGTAGGAGCAACGCCTTCTTAACGTCAAGATGGCCATAGATTTCAGGGGCAATGGAACGTGATAGGTATTCGTACATGTTTCCTGAGCTTTGATGTTGAGTTATCTTCTGGAGAGTTCGCGAGTCCATGACTAGATTCTCATAGGCCTTTTTATGTTGGGTTATGTGCTGTGCTTCTAGATACGTATCTGTAAGAAGGCCTGCTTTGATCGCTCTGAATCCAGTGTAAGGTATTGGGAGGAAGATCCCAGCAATATCAACTACATCACCAGGATTAACCTGTCGTACAAGGCTTCCATGGCAATGAACCGTTAGAGTGCGTGGAATGTGGCCAATGGGGACTTGATCTGCCATCTCCTGAATTTTAACCTCTTGGAATGGAATAAACTTTGAGGCTCTGGTAGAAAGAAACAGTTGTCCCTTGGTGTTATTCTGCAGGCATTCGGCAGATGGACACTCGAAAAGTGGAGAGAATTGCTTTGAGACAACAGGTTGGAAGACTTCAGATCCGCAACGATCGCAAGAGTAGGCATTTATCTTAACAGCAGGCTTGACATCCGAAACCCTGGTGGTGATGCCCCGCACTGTAATAAGGTGGCCAAGGTGTTCGCCGCGAACATTTCGAACAGCTATTGCCTTGCTTCGATCGGTGCTAGAACCCGAGGTGGTCAATGGCTTGAAATTTAAAGTATAGCGGCGGGTCAGTTCTGGAGGAAAAATTGAGGGTGGTAGGCCTGGTTCAGATTCAGGATCTGCTTCAGCAGCCAGGGTCATTGTTTCGTTTCTTCGCTCGCGCTGAGACATAATTATATCAAGGACATCATCTTTAAATCTGTGGGTAGAATTGAAATCAGAAGGACGTTCCCTTCCATATTCGATGCAGGAACGGGACCGGATGAAGAACTCACGAAACTTCCTTTGTCTCTTTGGGCATTACTTGGTCGACCGCATTGGAGAATACATCAATGTATCGTTTTGCATTACCTTCGATGTTTTCCAGAATGTTTGAATCAGGACCATCTGGCAGGGATTTGATGTACTATAATTATCACTTCATAGTTAGAAGAGCTGATGGAACAAACGTTGCCCAAAGTGCTTCCTACTGTCTCTAGATCATCTAATTCTATAAGAATATTGGACCTTGTTCGGTCTGCAACCTCTTGCAACATCTGCATGTACTTCAATTTCGGCTTTTTTGATCGCGCGGTTCTCATTTGTTGACCATCAACATCGTCCATGAAATCGTACTCGTCGCTTGTGTTGTCGCCATCAATATGAAGGCCTTCAATTGCCTCAGTAGCAGCATTCTCTGAGGCCGATTCGAAGCTCTTAAAAGTCTGAAGGAAGTCCTTGAAAATCTCTTGTTGAACTGCATACTTGACGGGAGCGCGATACTGAAGTAGCGCCATAGCGAAGCATTCACCAGAGAGGATGGTAGTGCAGTTGGAAGAGAGGTTGATATTGTCGTAGGGTGGTGTGGTTATTTTGCGGGCAGTTGTTGCAAATTGAAAACGGAACTTGAGCTTTGGATGTGTTCGTTTCCTTCCCAAAGGGTGAACTTAGCTGCTTTGCGCGCGTCTACGCGACGTGAACGCGTTTCCGAACTTCAAAATGCCCTTCTAACCTCCTAGTTAGGACTAGCGTTCCTCGGAGCGGATTAAGATTCGGCCCGGTCCCCGGCCGAGCACTCGTGCGGGCCGAAGAAACATCCCGGAACAGCGATATATTTCTACAGCCAGAGCGCGGTGGTAGCTCATTTTGAGAGCATTTTATTCCCTTCACAGCATCCCCTCTTTTTTGGGTAGATACATCTGCAAAGGGTGGCCTCCTTTTTGATAATTGTCCTACCATGGCTCCCGGTAACAGGAAGGCGTCCACTACGGCGGAGGTGGTCCTTGTTCCACTCAAGAATTGTCTTGCTAACTTGCCGCCGTCGCTGGTGGCATTGTTGGTGAACGCGAATACGGTAAGGTTATTGAATATCAACTTCTGCATCTAGTGGCCTAAGGGTTCTTTGTTTCGCAGCCTGCCCAAAACGTCGTTGTCGAGCTTCAATACCGCCCCGCATCCAGCACATCGACTGCGAGCCAGCCGCAAAAATGCGCATACGTGGGTTGGACAGGTATGCCAAGTAAGCGAAGGTTTGCTCCCGTAGTCAGCAAAGATGGAATAAGTGGTGTTGGGGACTTCTCGAGGGAGCAGGAGATCCCGACTGTTGAAATCGATTCCACTTTCGGGAGAGTTTTGGGCTTGAGTGACGGTCAAAGGGTGAGTATCAAACAGGTCAAAAAATCTGATTTCACTCCGCTAACTGTCAATTAGGCCGGCTTGCTGTTGCATCTTGACCCTTTAGTGGCGCATACTGTTAATATTGAACCTTTAACACCAGCTGATTGGGAGAGTAGGTGTTGGAACTCTCGTTATCTCTTACTTGACTATGCTAACTGGGCGTTGGTAGTTATTGAACTGCATGCTACATTCCTAGAGCTTAATCTCTTGTCTCAAATTCGGGCTCTTCCAAATCCGGCGTACAGTGGTACAACAGTTGGGCAGATATCGCATTCCCATCCCCTCACTTTACACCTATCACCCACCTCCACGGCCAACATCACAATCACATCTCTGACACCGCCTGCACCTGCGAACTCTCCATTTGCAAAAATCGCACAAGATGCTGAAGTTGTAGTTGCTCCAAAAATTCGCCCAAAGTCCGGCGGGCATTCACGCAGCGAGAATAGAAGCATCACTAGTACTGGTCGGAAAAGCGTAAGCGGTCGCAGTAGTGGGGGCACTGTCCGCCCAAAAAGCAACCATTCTGATTCAGCGTCGCACGGTGCAGTCTACCTTCGAAGCGTGGATCGGCGCCACATGCAGGATTGGTTCGACGAGGATTCGGATACCCAGAAAAACGAAGGGTTTAGGATATGGATTGATCGAGGGATCCTTGAGAAAAATGAGCTCCGGGGAACAGTATGGGCATGCGTTTCAATTGTTACCCCGGCCGGATTACTTCCACCTGTTGATCCACAACAGCAGCTGCAGAAAAAGGAGCAGGAGTCTTCCGATGCCGGAAAGCCTTCGAAGAAAATTGTTGCCAGAGTTCTACCTTGGCATGAGAGTCCTGATTGTCAACATGTCGCTCTTTCATCCCATCTCTGCTCCGCACTTGGATCCGATGGAATGGTTGGAGGAATTGTCCGTGTTGAGGCCGCTCCGCCTCAAATTCCACACTCTTCGGTAAAATCCATTAAAATTTTTCCTTTCGCCTCCAGCTTTTCTAACAAGAAAGATGGGTTAAAATTCGGTGGTGATTCCTCTGCTTACCGGGATTCGTTGGGTGAACGTATCAAGCTCTTGTATGGCAGTCCGGGATCTGATTCAGGTATGTTATCGGGCGCTATAACTGATGGAATGATTTTACCCAAGCTTGAAAACCAGGCTGCCTCCTTAGAACTTGAAGGGGGGATTGTTCGCTTCGACCCGCCTTTAAATTCATCATCAGAGACCAATAAGGTAGCATTTGGCTGGCTTCTCGGCTCGGAATGTAAAATAAATCTTGATATCCAACCAGAGATAACAAAACCGCAGGACAGTGTCCCGTCCTTCGCTCCATCGATTGACCCGATCCCGGATGACGCGCCTGATTTGGTGGGAATAGACACAGTTATCGAAAATTGCCTCTCAAATCTTACTCGATCGTCCTCGATTCTTCTCACCGGTGGATTAGGTGCTGGCAAAACATCCTTGTGTCAGTTGTTAGCTCACAATTTACGCGAGGATTACCTTTTTAACGTGTCTTTCTTCTCTTGCCGCAAGCTGGTGACGGACGAAACACGCATCTCTACAATTAAGGAAACGTTCCATCGGCTCTTCCTGTCAGCGTCTTGGTGTGCGCGACAGGGTGGCCAGTCTCTTGTGATTTTGGATGACCTGGACCGTCTCTGCCCGGTAGAAACAGAACTTCAGGTTGGCGGCGAGAATGGAAGGAGTCGCCAAATTAGCGAGATTGTTTGTTTAACTGTACGAGAATTTTGTTCAGCCAACTCCTCTGTCGTGTTACTTGCAACGGCACAGGCGAAGGAGTCACTCAACAATGTTATTGTTGGAGGCCATGTCGTTCGGGAAATCATTAGTTTGAAGGCGCCAAACAAGGATGGAAGAAGAATGGTTCTTGAAAAATTAACAGCGGCAGATGGACCAGTTACAAGATTCCAGAATGTGGTCAATGGTCATTTAAGAAACCAAAGTTCATCCACTCAAGACTCCTGGCTCGAACCATCAGATCCCGGCAGCCGACCTGGTTCATCGGGACAGTCTGATGGTTTTATCCTTAGCCGAGACCTGGATTTCCTTGACTTAGCTGGGAAGACAGACGGATACATGCCTGGTGACCTCGTTCTGCTAACCGCTCGCGCCAGAAATGAAGCTTTGATCCGTTCAGTTCAAGATACATCATCCACTTCCTGTGCGATCACACTAGGCACGCAAGATTTCTCCCACGCACTCAAGGGCTTCACACCTGCTTCTCTCCGTAACGTGACCCTGACATCCTCCTCAACCGCTTTTGCGTCAATTGGCGGTCTTCATGAAACCAGAAAAACTCTCCTTGAAACCCTGCAATATCCCACCACATATGCCCCAATATTCGCTCAGTGTCCACTCCGTCTACGTTCCGGCCTTTTGCTATATGGGTTCCCAGGCTGCGGAAAAACCCTTCTTGCAAGTGCGGTGGCAGGGGAATGCGGGCTCAATTTCATCAGTGTAAAGGGTCCCGAGATCCTCAACAAATATATTGGTGCAAGTGAAAAGAGTGTCCGCGACTTGTTTGAGAGAGCAGAGGCTGCTAGGCCCTGTATCCTGTTCTTTGACGAATTTGATAGTATCGCGCCAAAACGGGGACATGACTCTACCGGAGTTACTGACAGAGTGGTCAATCAGCTTCTTACTCAGATGGACGGGGCGGAGGGTCTTTCAGGTGTATACGTCCTAGCGGCCACATCTCGACCGGACCTTATCGATCCCGCATTACTCCGCCCCGGACGCCTGGATAAGTCGCTTCTGTGTGACATGCCCTCCCACTCGGACCGAGTGGATATCGTCCAGGCGTTGAGTAAGCAACTCAAGCTTAGCGAGGAAGTAATCGCGCGTGTCGACGAAATTGCAGATCGGACTAAAGGATACTCTGGCGCCGACCTGCAGGCGGTTGTTTACAACGCACACCTCGAAGCAATCCACGACGCGCTAGGTGACCGATCTTCTGACTCCAATAATCCCCAAAATAGGCCGAAACGACCAGCAATTACAAATGGGGTCATCCCAGTCGTCAATGGCAATACCAAGGCCAGCACAGAAAAGATCGACAAGAAACCCTTCATACAATTTCTCTACTCATCAGATGAACATGCTACAGCGGTAGCTTCTCGAACACGTTTAATAGAAGGATCCGCATCGTCTCTACCACCTCCCGCTATCGTTGCTGCGAAACTCGACGCAATTAAACAAGCCCGTAAACGCCAGCGCCAATGTCAACAAGAACTAGAGGCATCAGATCAGTTAGTTAATGCTGCTTCTCTCGGTGCCAATGGCGCGACTGCTGCGGATAAAGATGCCAGTGACGACATCTATATTTGCTGGACCCACATGGAGCGATCCCTCGCAACCACTCGTTGTTCCATTAGTGACGTAGAGCGCAACCGCCTCGAAGCTATTTACAAAGAATTTATTGTTGGGAGGAACGGGGAGATGCCTACCGGTGAGGGCGGGCGGGAGATTGGAGGAAGGACGAGTTTGATGTGACATGTGTCTTTGTATATTGTATATATTATTATCATATATTCTCCTGCATTTTCCGGTATTTTCTGTTGTACATCCAATTGCTCATATTGCTTGGCATTGCCGGGAGGATACAGATTACAGAGATTGCATTTGTTTGTACTGTACAGTACGGAGTAGGGCGCTGGGAATCGAACGTTCTAATGGCTCGGCGCGGGGAACCCCTTTTCTTTCAAGGAACATGAAAGCAAGGACACTCCTCAGATATTATCAATGCTATTTTAAGCTTTCATGAGTGGGAGTATTCTTCACTAGCCATTGATTGAGCTTTGAGACTACCCCATCCACCATATCCGCCATTGTCTACCTGGAGAGACGAAGAGGTATGAGAAAATAGTCTTTTAAAAAAGAGAGCGGACGGATCCTCAAAGCTCTCTCCTCGCAATCAATGTTATCTTATTCAGACAGTGAATAGCAATGCTTTTCTTCCTCTATCAGTCCCAAACTTCTTCGGCTAACAAAGTCAAAATGCACCACTCACTCATGATCAGAATCATGATAAAAACGAAAAATAAACTCCCTTCCTCCAATTCCCTCGCCCCGTTCACCAATCTCAGCTCATTTCCAAACTTTTCGTTATTCTGAATACCTAGGCCTTTCATCCCACTAGCCAATACCTCACGAAGACGCATCGATAAAACAGTGTCATAATCCGGGTCCTTCGCTGGGCTCTCAGCTTTGGACATCAACCCCTCATACAAGGAAGCCGGAAGGCCAAATCCGGATATATTCCGCCCAATGGATTGGAGAGTATACCTCTCCAGGTAACCCCCTGGTCCTGATAAGGGCCATAGGTCGTATGCAGTGCTCGTCTCAATCTTCTCAGCCCACCCGTGTTCTCCTGAATCTTGGCTTGGGGATAGGTCATGATGAACGGGAAGAAGAAGAAACGGCTTGCCGGTCGGTTTGAGCTAGTTGGGAAGGTTAGAGGTTTGCTATCCAGCTCCTGTCATTGTACGTTGGTCAGCGACAGAATGGACCGGTATGACCGATTGTACGAGTAAGCAAGCGCGAGGATGCACCTACATTCCATCGTGAAGCATGCCCTGCCAAGTCGCGACTGAGGATGCGATCCCGGTATGACTCCTTTGTCAGGACGCATCTCCACTGTGTTGGAGTTTGTGCTTTCTCCACCGGTAGGCTCGGTATTATAGCAATTACTCGGGCATCCATGGCTTCTTCAATTTTTGCATGTAGCGTGATCCCTAGACAAAGCAACATTTTGTTAAACCAAGTTCTCTACGTACGGATAGCGTCCAGCTCACCATTTTTCCGATCCTCCACTGCAACCTCCCCATCTCCAAAAAGGTACGCCAGTTCATTCCCTTTCACCCCGCTCGGGATAACATGCGTTGCTTTGACGTTCCCTGCCTACCAGCCTGTGATATGGCAGTATAGCTGGAGCTTCCCTCCCTCCAGACTCGCCGCAGTGTGGTACGCCAACACATCCCGGCGGAACTTGGCTAGCCTGAGCCCAACATGCCGTCCCATTATTTTGTCAGACATGGATTTGGAATACAGGGCGGCACCATACGCTGTCTCTAGCAGCGACGCGGCTTGCAGTTGCCGATCGTCACCCTTTTCTGTCATGCCTGTGTCTGTCTCAGGCGCGACAGCTCTATGACGCTTTGGAGCGAGCTCATCTTCTAAGTCTTGATTCATCATTTTTTGTTGATGGGTAGCTACATGGTATTCCTCAAGCAGCGCGCGATATCTGTGATCTATAGTAACCATTTCGTCGGGATACCCCTTTCCGTTTGAGGACTTCTTCTCGGACAATGTTTAGCGCAGATTGTCTTGGTAACAATCGAAATAATCCAGCTCGGTCCGCAATGTTGCGGTTTGAATTTGAGAATGTCGGGTACTGTAGAAGACATACCGCAAAGTTGTATCATTGTTGACGGGAGCAGGATTTGACTGGCTCCTTTGTGCTCGGGTGCATTTGGGCTTGTAGGGGCGAGTAGTGATGCGTATCTTTCTGGCATTATCGGGGAGGAGACGGCAACTGGATGGGGGATATGTTTCGAGCGAGATGAAGACGCCTCCGGGGAGGTGATTGAAGCGGCCATATTGATATGTGTTTTGGTAAATGTATATTACATGGACATGCATATCTGTGGAGGCGAAGGAAGAAATGAAATGGGACTGAAAATGGAGTCTAATTCTGAAAAATTTGAAATGGTATGACTGCAACCACGAAGGATAGCCTTTCAGGGGGCTGGAAATCAAAGTTGAGTAGCACAGGGTAAAGCGATAGACAAATGTCAATCACTTGAACTGGGGAAATGGGTCAGGTATCTTCAGATACTAGCAGAGACAATGTTGCAAAGTACCGTATTAATAGTTGTGAAGGGGGGCCGGTCTCTATCCGGTAGTTGTGGAATGTAAATCGTTAGTGCTCTTCCACGGGATTGTTCACAACTGGAAAAAGGACATGTTACAGATCAAAATGGAGCAAGACTTAAAAACAACACGATCTCTTTTTTTGATAGGAAATGGGAAAACTGAGAGAAAACACCATCTTCTATTTTTTAAACCTTGACAGAGATATAACAATGAAGGTGGAAAAAGAGCTGTACATTATACCAAACAAAAAAATAAATGTGGTCTATGAAAAACAACCCTAATCAAACAGCATTCAGAGAAATTCCCCCAAAGGTCAAACAAAAAGAAATAATGTAATTATTGTAAAGGTAGAAGATGCAAAATACAGATCAAACCTTGAAATGAACCTGAGTCCGCTAGGTCGCATAACAGCCGAATGAATTTCGAATTAGTGGAGAGAGGCTCAGTTCGCAGCCGGTATTGGCGGAGGAACTCTGATTCTTTTTCCCAACTTTTCTAGTTCACCGATGATCCCCATTCCAGAGAGTGTCCACTTCTCACTGACGAATTCCTCTGTTATTTTTTCTCTCAGGATGCCACTGTGTGCAAAATACTCAAGCAGGCCTTTAGAATCCTTCTTGTCCAGGCCAGTGAGCCTTTGCGTCGACAGATCTTTCGCTTCATTAAGGAGAGCAAGGACTCGTTGATCAGGGCGGCGGTATTGGCTAACAGCAGGGAATTCCGACGAGTCTGTGGGTATGCCAGCGGTACGCGCAGCAAGCTGTTCGAGCAAGACCTCAAACGTATATAAAGTTGGTGTATTTGAGGTAGATGTAGAATAGAGGAGAAGCCCTCCGTTAGGGAGTGCTGGGGAAGAACGTTCCGACGACAGCAGAGAAAGGAAGTGGTTTACCAGTGCGAGATCGTGAGCATGGATAATCTCATATTCGGCAGTGCGGTATTGGGAATTCGTCATCCAGTGCGCAAGGCCATCGACTGTGACTAGGATTGGTGGACGAGTACTGAATGGCTTTTGGCCGTCAACATTAGTAGTTGCTTCGGTCGCTGTTAGTTCTGACCAAAGAGCCTGAAATATCGGCCAGGCGTGTGCAGTGTCATCGATTCCAAGTTTAGCTAATTGCTCGAGAGTCATGTCGGGGCGAACGGGTGCCTTTAAATTCAGGTGGTTTTGTGAAATATGAAGCTTAGCTAGCAAAGGGGCATTGGCGGCAATCATACGTTGCAGTACTTTAGCCACGGCGTCCTGTTGCACGTACTTTCCTGGGTCTGAGGGAGATGGAGCGTAGGCGGTATGGCCGATCGTGAGGTCTTGAGCTGTTAAGGACGAAAACAGAACGCATTAATGTTAGCGAAATGGACATGTTAAGACACATGATAATTTTACCTTACCCTCAGGAATAGTGACAATAACCCAGCCTTTTAACAGAGCTAAGGTCATGGCCTGAGTCAAATGGACACTCTTCCCAGTCCCTTTATCACCAGTAATGATTCTCTTGATAGTTTTCCCTTTCATTTCGCTCTCGCCATCCCCAATACCAGTAATTAACCTCCCCAGCTCGAGCGTTTCCTGTCTAACCAGAGTACCGGGTCTCCTAAACAAACTCCAGCCCTGAGTGGTTTTGAACGCGCGGGCGCCTCTTAATCGGTCTATCAACGCCATAGGAAGTCCAACTGTATGGCCACGCAAGTCTGCGTTTGTCATATTCTCCACAGAGAGCTCTTGCATATCTGGAACCTCGAGGGCGTTGGTATTGCTGAGTACAATGCGTTCCTTCGCCGCCCTACGTTCACCCGGGGCCGGAGGCCGAGGTTTCTCACGCTTCACCTTTTTGTTAATTCGAGCGGACAGGGATTCGCGGAACTTAGGGGCTTCCGATTGACCTGAGCCTGGCTTTTTCTTCATGGGCAACGCAAAGGCCGGGGCTGTGGTATGGAAGGGAGCGATTCGGAGAGCGGAGAGCGGCTGCAACAGACGTGGCCCCCGCTGAAGGTTCGAAAGGCAGCCCCAGCAAAAGGAAGTGGGGGCCATTGTGGCACGAAGCTGCCTTGCCGTGATCAATGGCCTGTAAATATAATTGTTGCATGTGTTGGCGCAATACGTGTACAGAGTGATAAAAGAAGAGGCATTTGGCGTGAAAGAACTAAAAGAACCTAAAGGGGAAAGTCATGAAGGAGTGGCTCTGCTTAGTCATTGCGGATAGTCCTTTTTTTTTTTTTTTTTTTTTTTTTTTTGTGTGTGTGTTTTGGAGCTCGAAGTCAATGAAGTAACGTAAAACACACTATCCGCTCAACAATCATGGCAATTGCAGACATGGTTGGTTCTACTTCAACTTCCATCCCCGCCTCAACGTCAAAAGCGAAGCCAAAACCAGAAAGACTGTATGTTTGCACATCAACTTCAAGTTGCGCATCTCTTATCTTCACTCCAATTGAAGCTCACCGATTCTCCTCCTCTACTATAAAACACAAGCACAAGCCAAACCCTCCAAGCTAACAAATTACAACACTTCCTCCAGCCCCATAACCGTCGAGAAACCTACACCCTACACCTTCGACCTGGGCCACCTTCTCGCCCTAGACCCAAACCCACTCATTCTCTCAAACGACACATCCTTAAACGCAGCCCTAACTGCCACAGCCCGCGATGGCGCCCAATCCCTCCTCAACCAGCTCTTAACAACCTGCACCATAACCTCCACGACGCGGGACGGCATCCTCCTCTCTCTTCCCCCTCGCACCACCCTCCTACCCCGCTTCAAACCGCTCCCGGCTCCCAAGCAGCCGACGAAATGGGAGCTCTTCGCTCGCAAGAAGGGGATTGGCAAATATAATAAGAAACTCGGTTCAGGCGGCGGTAGTGCGGAGGCGGAGCGGAGGAAGAAGCTAGTCTACGATGAAGCTAGCGGCGAGTGGGTACCGAGGTGGGGCTATAAGGGCAAGAACAAAGGCGGGGAGAATGACTGGCTTGTGGAGGTGGATGAGAAGGTGTGGAAGAAGGAGGAAGGGTTGAGTAGGGAGGGAAAGGGAATTAGAGGGGAGGGGAGGAGGGAGAGAGTGGAACGGATAAAGAGGAATGAGAGGCGGATGAGGGCTAATGAGCGGAGGGCTGGTCGAGCGAAAGAATGATTTTCTCAGAGTGTATGTGCTGCGGAGGTCCTTGGTGTTGGGACATTCCGTTTTGATTATGGGTGAACTAAATAAAAGAATCAATGAAATGGGATGGGATGGGATAGGCTTGGATGTGGAGTCTACTGTCGCCTTTCAGTCATATCTCCAAGGCAGCTTGGCGTTTCTCATGCTTTGTTGCGTCTATGTGAGGTGTGTTTCCTGTTTTTCCTCTAAGTTATCTGGCGTGTATAATGATTATTTGCTCCTCGACTAAATGAACACATGCAGATAGCTATTATTTTTGCTAATAGTTTCGACCATAGACTAGTCCTCGCAAAACGGTAAGGAAATTCAAATCGATTATTTTTCTCCAGCAGGAAGCAAAACCTAAACAGAAAAGCATTTGTTTGAAAAACCAAGTAGCAGGATTTCTAGACTGGACGGTATCATCAACAGAGCACAGCAACCAAAGAACTATATCGGCCTGTTGCTATTGAGCATGGTCATTACGCCGCTTGGATTCGGCTCCAAAGTTCATCTCGGTTGCAATCCTTGATACTTTTCTTGAATAATAACAAAACAAATGTACCTGGAAGCTTGCTACATAGCTATTCGGCTTTCATGAATGCTCTTTTATGAGCGGAAAGCAAGTAAATAAATGCATGCCAAACATATCTATACATATACCATTAAAACTCAAAGAATTCATAACCGAACTCAAAACACCGTTCCAGCGTGAGGACGAAATCAAAGAAAAACAGAGAAAAAGAATGGATAAAAGAGCCATTAATTAACAAAATAAAAGATGGGATGGGATGGGATGGGGAGTTTGAATGGAAATGGAAAAGACTGGGAAAATAATTGATAAATGTGAATGAAGAAAATGCCACCCGATGAAGTTGCAATGCCAAAGCTAACACAATGTAAAGAAGGCACAAAGGATGGAAGAGGGTAAAAATAGCCGAAACAAGAACAGACAGGGAACAAACTGAAAGATAAACGTATACGCAGGTTTGAAAAAAGAAAAAAAAAAAAAAAAAAAAACAATAACAATGTAAAAGAAGAGAAAACGTGTAGAGAAACCCGTTATATGAAACGCAGGATCAGGGAGAAAAGTGGTCAACAACAGTGGACTAAAAACTTAAAGATATGTAAAGCCAGCAGTTGAGAATCACGGATAAAATGAAGTAAAGGCTTCCACTTAAGCGCCAGAGTATGCTTGATCATATATAGGGCCCAGAGAAGCAGAAGGACAATCAAATCAGTGAGGCAAGAAGTAAAACAAGAATACTAAATAAACGCAAACTGAAATTGCAAAAACAAGACAGAGAAACTGAGGAAGAAAAACCACAATCAAAGAAGATTGTTCACAGAGTGCATGTGTAAATAACATAAAAATAAATAGAAAACCAGAGAAGAAACAACATCTAGTTAGAGTCTGGTCAGAACTGTGAAGTAGATGCATATGCATTGCATGATAATTTTCTGCACAGCATTCACATGAAACCGCACATCAAGCCCCCTCATAAAAAAAAGGGGTAAGGCATCTGTCTGGCCAAAAGCAGCAAAATGTGAGGCACCCATTTTGCAGCTCTAGAAATCGGAAAGTCCCATGTGCTTGTTTTGTTTTGTTTTGGATTCGGTTGGTATTAGATATTAAACAAGTCGTTCTAAAATACCCGTCCATTTTCTGGATGCAGCTTGGAGATGGCGGAGACGGAAGCACCGATCGACATTTTCCATTTCGCATGTTACGTTTAGCTTTTTACTTCACTAGTCATTGTTGTATTTCCAATACTAGGAAGATCCTAAATCCTAATGGGTGAAAGCGGCGGGCCAAGCTCCGGTAATTGTGATTGAGAACGTGAATGCGAGCTGTTAATGCTCTGTGGTGCTGGTTTTCGTCCGCGTTTTGGGCTGGCCGGGCGACCGGACGCCTGTGTTTCGCTATTTGAGGCTGCGTTGGCATTGTTGTTGTTGTTGTTGTTTGCCTTATTATGATTATGATTATCATTATGATCACTGTTGGTGGTATTAGGAGCTTGACTGCTGCCCGATGACGAGATAGCTCTTTCCTCAACGGCAGTCTCCCTTTCATTCGAAGCCGCCTGATCTTTATTCATACCCTTCTTTTCCGCTTCAAGTTCGATTGCCAGATACTCCTTCTCAGTCCAGCAACCCTGCCAACAATTCTTCCAGTCGCAGACTAGAAACTGGAAACAGAAGCCGTCAATTTTCATGCACGGTTGAAAGCAGATGCAGAGATTGCGATAATCCATTTTGTTCTTGTCGACGTAGGAGTGTAGGAGGCTTAGGTGGCAGGTTATGGCGAAGAGGAGGTAGTAGTTGAAGGGGGGTAGTTTGGATAATTCGTCCTTCAACATTTGCGGGGCAGTTGTGGCGCCCATACACTTTTCTGCGATCATAGCCTGTGTGGCCTTAGGGAATATTTCATCGGGTAGCTCGCGGAGCCATGCTTTGAACATCGATCCGATAGTGTTGATATCATATAGGTCGGGTTCGTCGAACAAATTAATATCGTACTCTTTACGGTCAACACTGTTAGCATTACGTGACCAGAAGAGGGAGCCCCGGAGAATAAAAAGTAAAATATACCTGTGTCAAACCGCTTCTGCCAATGTTTAACATCCTTTCCACTTCCTGGAACGCGATAAAGACCTTCTTCCTCACAGCCTTTAAAATTTAGATAGCTACAGGTGGACAATGGATTGTTAGAGAGAATTATTGACCAAAGGGATGGCTGAAGAAAAAGCGACATACTCAATACATCTCCATGGCAAAGCTGGCATCCAATACTCAGTTTTATCCTTCGACGCTTCCAACCGTTTCGAAATCCGCGTCCTGCGAGTTTGCTCCACAAGTGGAAGATTGATGACTCTGCATGTATATGTGTCATCTACAGGGTACTCGCGTTCATTGCTACTCCCGCTCCGGGTGATTTTACCGAAAAAGCCCTTCCCAGCTTTGCCTAGACGGTCAGCCGCACCGCTGGACGTTTGCTTTAAGTTGTCAAATAACGACGCCCCGGAGACTTGGCTCAGCGACGAGGAGGATGTCAGTGACCCTCCATGTCCTAGGTGACGCTGGGATTTGACATGATAATCATCAGCTGCTGGGCGATCGGCTGATCGGTTTCTGACGGACGAACCCATCACGTCTCTGAACATTTTGTCCGGTTGTAATGGTGCGGTTTTCAATGGCGGTTGGGTATTATCGTTGCTTCTGCTAATTTCCTCTAGTCGTAGTAAACCATTCGATGGTCGTCTTGAAGGTGGATGGCTTTTACCAGTGGCATACGAATCGTCCAGCCGGATGGATCGTGTTCGAGTAAGGATGTTGGCGAAACGGGGCTTGATTTTTTTCGACGCTAAATTGTGAGGATCAGTTATGCTTTCCTTGCGCAGATATTGATCGTCATTCCGATTGCCTGTATATGTTTCGTTGTCAGTTTCTCTGTAGTTTTTCACATCTCACTTTTGTCCTTTGACATCAAGAAAAGAAAGAGATGCGGGAAAACATATCCTCACCATTTGTTCTTTCAGCACGACCAGACGAAGTTGGGAAATCTGTGGAGGAACCGTTCCGTCCCCGACTAGACATATTTGCTGCCCTATCATTCGAGCTGCCTCGACTTGGCGGGGGGTTGCTATCGGCCGTCTGTTTTTCCGGACCATCTGACGACTGAAGCCGGTGACTTGACTTGGACGCTTTGAGGTTGGAAAAGAACGACCTCGACGGATCTCGCCCACGTTTAGTGGCTTCCTTGGGAGAAGGTGGATATTGTGGGATTGCCGTTATGCCTGGTGTTTGCGGTATTTCATTGTTCTCTTCAGTGGCAGAAGTTTTCATTGGTGGAGGAATAGAGGAATTTTTCCCCGTCACTGGCCGGAGAGTAGATGCTTGAAGATATGGTGATGTAGGGGACCTGGGTGATATGGGGCTTTGGGGGCTCAGTGGCGAGCGGGCATTCTGAGAGAGTTCATCGAAGCTGGGCGATCCCAGGTACAAAGGGGGAGCCTGAGAACCTTTTTTATTAGGCATTGTTGTCAATGGAATATCGCTGTTTCCGGTAGGCTTTGTGTGGATGGTGGAGAAGCGAGAGTCGGAGAAGAAGAATCTTTCAGCTTTCCCTTGAGGAAACCCGTAGGACGGTGGGCAGCAAGAGAAGGGGAGGCGGGAGTAAATCAGCACCGCCGGTAGGGTGGATGATGAAGACGTGCCGTCCTGTTGTAAACCTTGTGAGTTAGCCATGATGGTGGGGTAGGTTGCGAGTGGCACTCCATAGCATTGCAAGAAAGAGTCCAAATGGCAAGAGGACCATAGAAATGTAGATATATGGAAATATATATAGATATATAGAAGTTGTAAATAAAAAAAAGGGAAATATAAATGGGATATTACTCACGTTTAGGGCTCCTTTTAGGACGTCACAAGCTGAATCCCCGATTATATTCCCCTCACCAATGTCCTCAGACGGAGGGCGCTGCAACGTGAACTACTCAGGATGATGAACCCGTGAGCGATTTCCTTCCTCCCAACCGTGCTGCACATCAAATGCCGGTTGCGGAGTGAAACGGTTGATTTGATCCAAGCCACACTGCACAACCCTGGCAGAGGACGTAGGGAATTCGTCTTTTTGATAAGGTTAATTGCAGGTAAGTAAACGCATTCGGGGCATTCGATAAGGAGTCGGAAATGAGAGATCAGAGGAAAAGGGGAGAAGGTTATGTTGCACGAAGCTGCTGGTTGTGCGACGAGTAATTAGTTGCAATACCAGGCGAATTGGAAGCACAAACGTCAACGATGCCAGAATAGGGGATGCAATAATAATTAAATAAGACAAGGCTAGCCTAGGGCGAGAGCACACCTTGCAGATGACGGAACGGCAATATTTATTATTGGGGCGAGCACATGCAGGAAGAACCAAGTGAGAGGAGCTGAGAGGGAGACAATGTAGTTGGACAGAGGACAACAGGGCCAATCAATCACAGGCACAAACAGAGGGATGCTTGGATGCTTCACTCCATACAAGCAGTCTACTGCTTGTAGCCGTAAATATGATGTGCGACAACAATGAAAGAAGCGCGGACACGGGCGTCGAAGGGAATGGAAACCGAGGCGAGCGACATACAGTAAACCGACCCTGGGCCGCTATAGTACAGAATAAGAAAACAAAAGGGAGTAATTCCCTCTGTTGACTGTCTCCCTAAGTCCGTCTGTGAACACAGGGCAGGAGAGCAAGAAAGCAGGAGAGCAGGAGAGCTAGAGCGCGTGTGAGAGAGAGAGAGAGAGATTGTCTGAGGGAGTGGGACAGAAAGGTCGATATTGGGAGGTCGAAGAGGGGAACTGTCGCGGGTTGGGTTGCAGACTGCAGAGGACAAAGGGCGAGGTGGAGTGGAGTTATTTGGATGTTGGGTTACAACAAACGAGGCAGTCCAACAGGGTCAGTTCGTTCGTTCGCCGGCCAGTCCGTCAGGGAGTCAAAGTCCAGTCAATAAGCGAGACAGACGGGATGAGGAAGTGGCAATACAGCAGAGTGGATGGAAGAACAAAAAAATTACTAGATAAAGAAAGACAAGAAAAACAAAAGAAGTGTGGTATTCTAAGAAGACGGGCGGCTAGAAAAAGATAGCGGAGGTAGAGAGGAGAGAGAGGAGGGAGTGGAGTTGTGGAGTGTGGAGAGTGGAGAGAGAAGTGGTTGAGGTCGCGGGCGGTGGATGAGGCTGTGGGGAGCGTGCGGTTAGGCGGGTGGTTCATCGAGAAGCAGATTTGCACCACAGTCGGGTCAGCGACCAGATGACTGGTACATACATCCACCAACCCAGGGTTCCCAGGTAGGTGCCTGAGCATCTACGCAGGAGAGGTTTAGTTGCATACCTGGCCATAGGAACTGCTTGTTTGATGGCTACCGTGTATGCACTATTCATGATACAGGCGCCAATGCCTGGCAGAATCTCTCCCCCTATCCCTCCCCTGCTCAGCATTGTATGTGGCCCGCGGCTAGACATAAAAACAATAAGCAGAATAGCAGAATACATGTAACTAGCTAAGTAATGAGAAAAGCTAGTTACGGGATGTTGACCGTATGCGCAAACACCACGCACCTGGCCACACAACCTCAGATGTTCAAACTACCATTTCCTGGTTCTTGTCTATCTCGAAATGTACCCATCCAGGGCCATCCTGCCGCGAGAAGCTAAAGCAGCGGCCCAACCGAGTGTGAGACTGGAATATCTTGCGTAGTCGCAGATGCCGTAGTTACTATTATTTTCACTTTTTTGGAGACTAGAGACAATCAGCCGACCAGTTTTGCTGTTTGTTGTTTCTGATATCATTCCGTACTCCGTAGGCAAACTGAAGTAACTATACATCTGTACTCTAACTCATTAAGCGCTTCGCAGCTCAAATATCATACTACTTTCTTTTACTTTTTTACTTTCTATCTTTTTTATTTGACTTTCTGCATTCACTATTTGACATCTTCTCTCAATATTAACTTCCTGAATTGAGTTGGCCCCCTTTTTTTTCTTTTCTACGGAGCGGAGCATATTTACAACAAAACCTCGCTGACTAGTGCATAATAAAGTCATATCTTATTCTTCACTCACGAGACATGGATGCGACTCTTGGACATGGATCCATGAAAGTCGAGGAACCTTCTCATACAGGGGCCAGACTGCTGCCCCCGAAAATATTATTCAATTCTGGTATAGTAGTTAGTTATATATTTAACTATCTGCGTAAGGAAAAAAGTCTGCATGCTTGTCTATCTCACGAGCGCGCTGCTCAGGAACCTTGGTAAGCAGTGGACTAAGGTTTTAACTCTGAAACTCCCAATAGTTCAGTTAACTTTAACTGTCGAATGCACACCTACCTCCTTTTAACTTCTTCAACTCGTCATCAAAGACAATATAGGGAATGAAAAACCTGCCAAAAAGGAAGGGTTCCTCAGATGTTAGAAATTGACTTGCCTCCAGGAGCAGGTATAGCGCCGTTTTACGCGCGTGACAACATGAACGGCGCATACAACGTGGATTTATCTCGCATGCAGCGAGTGTGATAGTGACATATTCATGTATCATTATATCACTGGTAACTGCGCTGGCAGTGGCAACTCGATGGGAGAGACACTCGGGGGAATAATATTGTCACTGCCCCTGTGTAAACTCCGTACATTGTCTCTCTGCATTGGTGAGTCTTATTTTAAGTTGGCGTTTTACCCCTGAACCAGCCCCTTTACCTCTTGCGAGCGGAATGCTGCGACACAGGGGCCCTGGCGGGGAGGAGCAAACTGGAAAAGAAAGTGGATCAAGACCCAAGAGTTTAACCGCGACAAAGTGATATTTATATATGATGAGACCATTTATGCTATGAACGGTTAGTCAAAATAAAGATCAGAACACGTTACGAGTTAATCCCATAGAATCCTAGTATCGGTCGACAGGGTGAGTGAAAGAAGCCTTGCTGGTAAGCTATTTAATCCTTCTGTCCACTTGAAAAATACTCATTGCGGCATTTAATCGAACTCATCCTCTATTGAATTTCCGTACATGAGGCATGCCTCTATTTCCTACGATTCCACAAAAGGGACTTGCATATTCTGTATACAGCTACTGTAGCGACATTTTCAACCCCTACATAGATGTGTATGATGGGTAGCTCTGCTACAAAGACGTTAACTGTTTCCACAACCCTTGCATTTAGCCACCACTCTTAAATCCACATGTTATATCTGATACTGGGCCGGAGTTCAAAAGAGATTAAGATCAATGGCCATCTGTTGAGCCTCTACGCGCAGCGGAGGGATAAACCCCTCTCTAGGACAAGCAAACCATTTCAGGGCCCATTGCAGTGCCGGTGGCTGTCCATACCTAAGCAAATTGTTCCTGCAAACGGAGACGACAGACGTCATCGGCTAAGCACGGAGTAATTTACGCCGCGTAGTAATAATGCGGGCGCTACGTGTGCCACCATGCTCAGAAGTTCACAATGACTTTCCATCAACAACTGATATTTACCTCCACAAGTAACACTAGTGCTGAAGGACGCAGCGCAGGGTGCTACCTGGTGTCTCGGACGCATCTCGACGGAGGCAAGTAATGTAAGGAAAGCTGGGGCATTCCTTCCCAAGATGATCACAACTGCAGAAATTGCAGAATTTCATGCCGTGTTGCTCTTATCGCATCCTAGTGGATTATTTCCTGCGCGGATATCCCAAGAAAATGATAGTAACCTTGAAATTCTTCTCTCCTTCTTGTTCTTTTTTCCATTAACTATGATCATATCAAGGTGAAGAAAAGGTGAAAGGGGCCCGAAGTACGGAGTAGTCAGGACATGATTTCTAGCAAGTGTTGACCAGAATCTGCAAAAGAAGTGACAAGGTACGATTGTCACAATTTGAGTTGTGCCAAGCTTCCACCCTTGCATTTGCAGATTGGACACGGAATTTTGTTCTTCCGAGACGTCAGAGCAAGATGGAACACCCATTGTTCCTCAGAAAGGTTCCAACTTACAACTCTGGCTATGATTATGACCGCTGTGCATTACGTATTATGATAGCCTAACGAGACACGAAGATAAAGGAAGCAAAAAAAGGGAGCGTGGCCTGCTGAATGGTATGCTCCAGCGGCAGATCACGCCAACGTGCCTGGCTATCCGTGGACTCGAGCAAAGAACAACTGGCTCGGTTTTTCATTCCAAGAAGGTATTGTGGAATTATTATTATTATCTTTATCCTCCTTCCTTAGACTAACTGTGATTCCCCCTTGCTGTTCCGCTCTTACGTTATCGGCCGCGTGTCTATCACGATGTCCTTAGTTTCAGGCCCAGGCAAGGGTGGTGCTCCAAGCTCCACAGGCGGGGAACTTGGTGTGCAGAAACATGTGGACTACATCAAACGCCTTGACACAGTGCGTGTTGCCTTCCGAGATGTTATTCGCATGTTCCTGAGCTATTGACAATTGGCTTTTCACCAGCGCAAAGATGAGTTGGAGTACTGGCTCACAGAACATCTTCGCCTTAATGGAGTTTACTGGGGCTTGACCGCGCTCCACTTACTTGGCCATCCCGAGGCATTGCCCCGCGACGAGACCATCGCCTTCGTTCTCAGCTGCCAGCATGACAACGGCGGTTTTGGTGCTGCCCCAGGCCATGACGCTCACATGCTATACACTGTCAGTGCTGTCCAGATCCTCGTGACAATTGGTGCAGTCGACGAATTGGAGAAGCAGGGCCGAGGCGGGAAGGAAATAGTGGGGTCATGTATGTATGCCATATACATCTTGAATGATTTGTGGGATTCTGCATGGACTGTGACGGCTAAACTTTTCTTCCCCTCGCCTTTCTGCCATTAGTCATTGCGAATCTTCAGGATCGCGCTACGGGGACATTCAAAGGCGACGAATGGGGGGAGACCGACACTCGTTTCCTCTACGGCGCGCTTAATGCCTTGTCCTTATTGGGTCTCCTTCACCTTGTCGATGTTCCCAAAGCCGTAGCCTATGTGCAGTCTTGTGCAAATTTTGATGGCGGATTCGGGGTTCGTCCGGGGGCGGAATCCCACGCGGGCCAGATATTTACTTGCGTCGGAGCATTGGCCATTGCTGGCCGTCTTGATTTGGTCGACGCGGACCGATTGGGTGGTTGGCTGAGCGAGCGGCAGCTCGATAATGGCGGGCTCAATGGTCGTCCGGAGAAGCTAGAGGATGTCTGCTACAGCTGGTGGGTTGCAAGCAGTCTAGCTATGATTGGCAGACTCCATTGGATTGATGGGCCCAAGCTGGCTGCCTTTATTCTACGTTGCCAGGTGAGCTCATATCTATACTTGTTGAAGGCTGTGAATTCTCGTTGACTGAAAGCTTTAGGATCCGGATGAAGGTGGCATAGCGGATCGACCGGGGGATATGGTTGATGTGTTCCATACTGTTTTTGGGATCGCTGGTTTGAGCTTATTGAAATATCCTGGCCTCAAGGAGGTCGACCCGATCTAGTAAGTTCTGTGCGTCCCCTATCTTCATCTTTCTTTCTTTCTTTCTTTCTTCCCTTTTTGGAACGCCATCTGATTGGTAGAAGCTGTATGCCCAAAGAAATCACCAGCAGAGTGTTAGGGAAATAGTATGTTCGTGGCATATGTAATGTATCTGGCAGCTTCGAGTAGGCAGTACTTTATTTAAACGCCTCGCTGAGAGAAGCGCTATATTATTTTATTCCACGGACGACCTTTTCCCAAACAAATAAGAGCATGATGGTGGCCTCCCGCATTCTAATAACCCATTGCCTGATATGTGATAGGAATTGGGATACAAGGCGGGAGAAAAATAATTATCTGCGGGATCTTTGTCCGCTTCTAGTCATCTCGAATCACATAGTCACTTCGAGGTTATAAGAACCAGAGAACATGAAAAGAATCACGCTTACGTTAGCTCCATGATTGTTGCTTACATATTGCTCTTTCTATATATATGCATATAGAGAGAGTAAGGTCACTTTCCTTTTCAAATGTTTTTCATCCTCCGGGTAGCCCTTGCTTCTTTCTTTTCTTGCTCCCTCGCCTTCAATTTTTCAATTTTTCCGTTCTTGTAATACCGCGGTATTCCCACTCCTCTATCTCCCATCGAACATCTGTATATCAAATACGATACTGTTTTCCTGCCCCTCTCCGTGGCCGTCCCTGCCTTCTCTGGATGTTGCTGTTCCTCAACGTATGTCAAAACATCTCGACTTTGTTATCTCTCGCCCTTTTTTCAACCTCGCCTCCTCAACCTCTCCTCAACGAGCCACGAAGAGAGACCGGTTTGCTGTTCATTTCTATCAGCGAAGTGCATCTATATCTCCCAGTTGCTGCTTCCGTGTCACTTTTTCGTCTCTCCCTGTCTTTTGCTGTCTCTGCGGACTGTGTATCTGTGTTAAGCTGTTTGCTCTTTGTTGTCATTTCCCTTCCCCTTTACGGGCGGCTCCAACTCCGTGGATGGGTTGGCTGTTTGCTCAAAATCATGCCTTCTTCTATTCTCAAATGCACTATCTGTCCTAAGAAGCCCAATTTCAGTGATGTTTCCCACCTCCTTACTCATGTTAGCTCCAAGGGCCATCTCTCCCACTACTTCAAGCTCCAAGTGAGAAGTCACCAAGAGCCTGAAGCCGGTGAATCACTGGCTGTCTATGACCAATGGTATAAAGAGCATAACCTTGCAGGACTGCTCTCTGAACGCATGCTCACTAAGGAAGCCAAAAAGAGCAATTCAGATTTTGCAGCTGTTGAAAGGGTGCCATCCTTCGGCAGAAATTCTAGAGTTAAGGAGTCTCGCTCAGCTGCCAAACCTCCCAAACAACCCGCCAGAACTAGCCATCTTCCCGACTATTTAGATCCCCGGATGTCTCTTCCATACATTGCCACTGACAACAGTCACGCCCTCACCCAAGAGGCCCCAAGAATCAGCAGTGCTGCAAATAACACCTCTAAACAATCTCCTGCCCCTCATGCGCCGCTTTGGCCCATATGCCAATCTAGAATGTTGCTACCCTCTGGGACAGAAAACGCAATTGGCTGGAAGCCAGTATCTGACTCCTCTACATCCGAAGAGATGAGTCCTGTCAGTCAACGGAAGAAGTCCTTAGTTGAACAAGTTGATAACCCTCATACTGCTTCGCTGCGTCGATCAAGACACCCAGTTACTCCTGACCCCTTTCTGGATAATGACTCACTGAAGTATGTTGCTGATGATGATGATGATGGAGAATCTCCCACAGGAAGGGAAGAGGCCACACGGCTGAAAGGTATTTTATGGCCTGGTATGGATATTTTCGATTCAGCTACAGAACAAATGAGGAAAAAAAGAAACCAGAAAAAAGATGTCAGCATTTTGAAACAGATGGAAAAGACATCTGAAAACATCGAAGCAACAGAATTGGTCTTCTCTCCAGGAGGAACACTGCGCCGGGAGCGTCCCATCTCAGGAGAGGTCGATGACACCAGCCCTCTCACTGGGGAATCTCCTATTCCCAAGCGAATACCACGACCCCGACGCCGCCCACTTGCATCGTCAAGTATCAATCTGTTCAATCTGAGAGGGCAATGGAGAAAGCCCACTAAAGCAGATCGTCGCCGCCACACTGATTCTCTGGCAGAGTTATCCCGACAAGCGTTGCCTCTTCTTGATTGCTCTCCAACCGAGTATCCCCTACAATATTTTGCTAACCAATACATCGAGGGAGATGAGGCCTGCAAGTTGACGTTTACCGACTATGAACGAAAGCCTCGCCGTGGATTTACAATTTTTAATGATAGCAAAGAGGTGGCTATCTCCCGCGGAGAAGACAGTCCAACAAATGCCATGAAGGTTGGTCGCAACACCAAGCCCTCCCTTGGTACTTTTGTAGGATCTCGATCACTATTTCGTCCATCTGGTGCATCGAGCAGTTACAAGTTTCACTCATCCAGATCCTACACCCAAACCCAGCCTACAGCTCTGCTGGAATACACTATTGGAAAAGAGAACATCGAGCCTATCATGAATTCTGATGGAGGTGTTGATGCCCATGGCGGCCATGTCAACTGGCCTGAGCAGCAAGCCGTCGAAAAAGGCCAATACTCGACTCATTACTTTTACGGATCTGGTGCTCAGCAGAGCTTTGGGGCATTTGCTGAGAATGATGCATTCGGGTATTCATGCAACCCTTTGTCATTCTCATACTCACAGACCCAGCCTTGCGATGGACTGAGTGTCGCTACTCTCAGGTCTCACAATACAAGTGCAGCCCGTGAGAAAGCCAAAGAGAGCTGTGCAGCATCGCCGGACGGAACGGTTTCAGATGTTGATCGAGAAGAATACAGAAATATCTATCTTGATAACCCATCACAGTGAGGTCGAATATATTCAATCACCAGTTTGCGGTGGACATATATACGTCGACTGGTGACTTTATGGCTATCAGCTGGACTGGCTGGGCCGCTTTTCATGCGCTTCGACGAAGCGATTTTATGGAAAGCACTAAAGCAAAATTTATTTCCCTGAGCATTCAATATGGACATATCACTTAGCCTTCCTCAACTTTCCCTTGACTCTTATTTTCTATCCGCTTGTCGAATTTTTAGAACACCATTATTTGCCTGCATGCTAGTATCGATCATGGCGTTCATTTCAGTTTTGTATTCTCTTAACAAACCTGGACGAAAAAAGGAAATTGGAGGTTGCCAAAACATAGAGTGTGCATTAGAATTGTATGTTATAGCTATTGATACCATTGATGCAAACTAATATAAAATTTCCCCTGCTTTGTGTAGTTTCATTAAAGTAATTTCCTTACTGAACTGGCCTTGTAGGGGATTTTCTAAACCCCTAGTACCCATTGCTCCTGAAAGGTGAGGTTGGTTTAGATTGGCGTAATCCTTCCACTCAGCGCCCACTTTCCACGTTTTTCCATACAAAATCAAGAATGACCAGTTATTGATATCTCAATCACAATATATTATGATAAATTTGCAGGTGATAATAAAATTTTCTAAACGTTATAGTATATGAGATGTTTTCAGATTACCAGTTGTCACCCCCAGTTTCTACGAGTAATATTTGAATAACTTCTTTGATATCTATTATTTGTCACAGAAACATACAGATAAATTTAAATTTAAAAATTTTTATTTGCAAATATATATATCTATAACTATCAATAAATTACAAATTATATAACATCTTAATAAGATGGATGTTGAGATATCAATAGCTGGTCATTCTTGATTTTGTATGGTAAAAGGTGGACGTTGAGTGGATGACGTTATATAAGCCATTTATTAACTAGTTAACTAAAGCCGGCGTCTTGGAACGTCGCGTCAAACGCGTGTCTTTCTCATAAGAATTCATCCAAGGAAGTGACACTTTCCTTTGGAGGCATGTACTTGTCGAACCTTTCATTATCTATCTATTTATTTTTATAGAATAAACTGTGTGATTCCCCTTTATCCTAAATCCTCACCTCCTCGGGCTTTTATCCCTCCGTCTCCGTGCAAACGTACTAATCATTGACCCGGATTTGTAGGAGCCGCGTTTTAATTTTATCTTTCACTCCCGGCCTCGCCTCTGAAATGTCCATGTACGCGTATCGTTAATATTGCGTAACAAAGCAACCCCTCCCCTTCAATAATCCCAATTCGCAAGCCTAGCACGATGTCCTCCTCACAATCCACCTCGCAACTAAAACGCAAGCAACAAACTATTTCTAGCTTCTTTTCCAAGAAGCCCGTCGCCCCGAATGGTTCTACGACTACCACTCCGAAAGATGGTCATGTCAAGAAGACAATTGGACATGCTCGGGTTCACGAGGCGCCGAGCAGTGAGATGGATGTGGTGGATGGGGCCCATGATGCTGCAGTAAGACCGGACGAGGAAGGTGATGATGATTATCAGATTATTCTTCCATCGAGGAAGCGTATCAGGAGTAACGGGGAGGTTTCGACTTTGCAAAGGGGAACACTCGCAGATATCGATAATGGACATAGCAGCAAGGGGGAAAACGAGCTGCAGACGGGGATAATGGGTAGTTCTGATTCTGACAGAGCTGAACAGCCTGTGAAAATTAAATCTGGATCTTCGCGGACCGAAAAGTTTCGGTTCTCTAGTTCCTCTCTACCTTCATCTAGTGATCCGAAGGGGAATGGAGGCTGTGACGTTCTGTATGCCATTTCTGCGGACGGTGATGCATCTGAAGACGGCGATGAGGAACAGAAAAGAAAACAAGCTTTGCACCAGAAATTTGTGAAGAGGTTAGGCGGGCCAGATTGTCTTCCGTTTTCGGTGAGCCGAGTCGACGCGGGCGATGCTGAAGAGGCGGAGGGCGCTGAGAGTGATGCTGAGGCTGAGGCTGAGATTGTGCCGGTTCCTCAAAAGGGGAGGGGAGGAAAGAAGACCACGACGGGGAAGTTGACGCCGATGGAGAGACAGATTATCGACATTAAGAAAAAGCATATGGATACACTTCTAGTTGTGGAGGTTGGGTATAAGTTTCGTTTCTTTGGCGAGGATGCGCGTGTTGCGGCGAAAGAGTTGAGTATTGTGTGCATCCCTGGAAAGCTCAGGTTTGATGAACGTAAGTTGAAGATCGTACCCTTCCTTGTTATCCTGATTTATTGCTTTGTTTATATGCTTCTGTTGTCGCGATACGTTTCTAAGTTCTGGGGTATTTGCTGGCTAATTTGGGCTTTTGTTTGTCTTGTTACCAGATCCATCGGAAGCTCATTTGTCTCGTTTTGCCTCTGCTAGTATTCCCGTGCATAGATTACATGTCCATGTCAAGCGCTTGGTTGAAGCGGGCTACAAAGTAGGCGTGGTTAGGCAACTTGAGACTGCCGCATTGAAGGCTGCCGGTGAAAATAGAAATGCACCTTTCGTTCGCAAGCTTACGAATCTCTATACGAAAGGGACTTATATTGATGATGTGGAAGGGCTCGAGGAATCTAGCGGCAACTCAGGCAGCGCGTCTACTTCCACGGGTTATTTGCTTTGCATGGCCGAAAGTAACGCCAAAGGCTGGGGCAATGATGAAAAGGTCCATGTTGGAATTGTGGCTGTCCAGCCGGCCACTGGAGATGTTATTTACGACGACTTCGAGGATGGATTTATGAGGAGCGAAATTGAAATGCGCTTGCTCCACATTGCCCCATGTGAATTTTTGATAGTGGGCGAAATGTCTAAAGCTACAGAGAAACTTGTGCAGCATCTATCTGGAAGTAAAACAAATGTATTTGGGGATAAGATACGCGTTGAGAGAGTTTCGAAATCGAAAACAGCCGCGGCAGAATCCCACAGCCACGTATCTAGTTTTTATGCAGGTCGGATGAACGCCAAGGGGACAACTGGAGATGTTGCGGCAAGCAATCTACTAGAAAAGGTTCTGACACTGCCGGAGGATGTCACTATATGCCTTTCCTCAATGATCAAGCACATGTCTGAATTCGGGCTGGAGTATGTATTTGACTTGACGAAGTACTTCCAACCGTTCTCGGCGAGATCACACATGCTGCTGAACGGAAACACGTTGACCAACTTGGAGATATATCAGAATCAAACAGACCATACGTCGAAGGGAAGTTTGTTTTGGACTCTCGATCGCACAAAAACCCGATTTGGACAGCGTTTATTGCGTAAGTGGGTTGGAAGGCCTTTGCTCGATAAAACGGAATTGGAGGAGCGTGTTTCTGCGGTTGAGGAATTACAAGACCCCAGCAAGACAGTGCAAATTGAGCGGTTGAAAGGCCTTTTGTCAAAAATAAGGGCGGATCTAGAAAAGAGCTTGATACGTATATACTATGGAAGGGTGAGCTCTCGTTGCTGTTTAATTTTTTCTTCTTCTTTTACACATTTCAAACTCTGACAGTCAACTACAGTGCACACGACCCGAACTTCTCACAGTCCTACAAACGCTTCAGTTGATTGCAGATGAGTATGTGCATCTTAAATCACCAGCAGATTTAGGCTTTTCATCTCCAACAATCACCACAGCCATTGCAGCTCTGCCGGCGATACGCGATGATGTTGTTACATACCTCAACAAGATAAACGAAGAGGCCGCCAAAAAGGATGACAAATACTGTTTCTTCCGGGAAGTAGAAGAGACGGACGAAATTACTGAATCTAACCTTGGAATCGCTGATGTACAGCACAGACTGCAGGAGCACTGTGCCGTTGCAGCGGAGATTCTGGGCAAGAAAAAAGTGCAATACACGACGGTGGCAGGGATCGAATACTTAATCGAGGTAGAGAATAGCCCCTATAACCTTAAAAAGGTACCAGCCTCATGGCGGAAGATTAGTGGCACAAAGAAAGTCTCCCGATTCCACACACCTGAAGTGGTCCAGTACATGCGAGAACGCGATCAGTACAAGGAGGCCCTGGCTGCCGCTTGTGACAAAGCATTCCACGCGCTCCTGGCCGACATATCAACGAAATATCAATCATTCCGTGATTGCATCCTCGCTCTAGCAACGCTGGATTGTCTCCTATCGTTAGCCAACATAGCAAGCCAGCCCGGTTACATCAAGCCTGCATACACGGACAAAACACGCATCAGCGTCCAGCGCGGCCGTCACCCCATGGTTGAGCAGCTTCTGTTGGACACCTACGTACCAAACGACATAGAGTTGCATACTGACGAGACGCGTGCCCTTCTGGTAACGGGTCCCAACATGGGCGGAAAGTCCAGCTATGTGCGTCAGGTAGCTCTAATCTCCATCATGGGCCAGATCGGCTCGTACGTCCCCGCCGACTCTGCGACGCTAGGCATGCTTGACGCCGTCTACACGCGTATGGGGGCCTTTGACAACATGTTGGCGGGTGAGTCAACATTTATGGTCGAGCTATCTGAAACGGCCGACATTCTCAAGCAAGCCACTCCGCGTTCACTCGTTATTCTCGACGAGCTGGGCCGTGGCACCTCGACGCACGACGGTGTAGCCATCGCGCAGGCCGTGCTGGACTATATGGTACGAAACCTTCGGAGCCTCACGTTGTTTATCACGCATTATCAGAACTTGAGTAGTATGGCTCGTGAATTTCCCAAGGGTGAGTTGCGCAATGTGCATATGAAGTTCACTGAGTCGGGGATGGATGGGCAGGATATTACTTTCCTTTACGAGGTTGGGGAGGGCGTGGCACACCGTTCTTACGGCTTGAATGTAGCTAGGTTAGCTAATGTGCCAGATTCGGTGCTGGAGGTTGCAAGGGCAAAATCTGCCGAGTTAGAGGAGAAGATTAGGAAGAAGAAGATGCTAGCGTTAGCTAAAGTAGCTAAGGGGTTTATAAATACTGATGGAGACGCTGGAGGGCCTGCCCCTGCACTTTTAGAAAGGGTGATGGTAGGGCTGGAGCAGCTTTGAGTGGGAAAGTTTTGGACCTGATAATATTTGATTGGTAGTAGCATTTGGTTTCCCTCGTTTATTTTCATTGGCTGCTGTCTATAAATTTGCCTGATGCTGCGTTTAAATATCGAGAGAAATACACGCCCTCTTCTTTCATAACTCGACCCTGAAGGATCGATTCTACAAAGCCCAATAGGGGTGTGACAACGGAACAATAAAAATGAAACTTAGGACATATCAGAGTCAATCGTCAATTCAAATTAATTATTTTGTAGGCACTTGACTCGCCCCAAACCGACATGCCATAGGCAAAAAGGAAAAGCATAAGATGTCGATTTGATGCTGGCTGCTTCTTATCCATTTTCTCGAAAAAGCCCCGTCTCCTTTTATCTCTTCCCAGCAAATCCATTCAGTCATTCCGGATTCACTTTCGAAATCGCTGCATCGTTTAAAAGAGGGAGAACTTCGAGACAGTATATAATTACCCCCGCTATCATCCCCGCAGAACGCCAAGTTACCACTCTCTTCCTCTCGTCTCATTCCTTTCTGTAATACATTGCCAAGCTCTCCCGTCACAGTTCGTTGATCGTCAAGTGTGAAAAATAGGTTTCAAGGAAAACATTGACTCGGGATAAGAGGTTTAACAAGGACCATGGGCGAACAAAAGGAACAAACAACGAATCGATCGAACCACTATCTTCGACATATTACAGTAACAACTTTTCTTTTCTTCTTTTTCTTCTATATATTCATTTTATTGAAAGCCATTTTATCTCAGTCTGCGGGCTTCTCTCTCGGACTCGAGTAGGCATAGAATATCATCGACCTTGACTATTGTTTTGAAAGAGTGTATGTTAGTCTCCCGGTGCATTGTTTTCATTGTCATCTTCTGGGGCGCTGGGTGGCTGTCTCGTACCTGGGCCCTTGACGTTTCGGATGATGGATCGAGATGTGTCGTCCATGAACTCAACGCGGACCTGAGTGACACCACCTCGCGAACCTAGAAATCGAGAAAACCACGTTAGATATAGATGTCCATGTCTTGCGCTAGTCAAGTTAGGTTTCCCCCGTTTTAATCTATCCTTTCTGCGTATTTCCTCCCAGCTTTCAACTTTGGGAATCCTTTGGCTCCACTGTTTGTTTGTAGTCACAAGTACCCCAGATCTAAACCTTCTGCCATGTATATATTATCTCCCAGGCCCACAGAGACAGTAATTAATCCTCTTTAACAAAAGAAAACAAAGCCACTACATACCGGTGCGGCCGAGAACGCGGGTCACTTTGGCGAACTTGATAGGGACTTTTCCGGAGGCATCCATGATGGACGGTGGGATATGCGTATGAGTAGCTGCTGCTGCCGTTCGGGGGTAGACGGAGACGTAATATAGCGGCAAGCAGAGGAGGGAAGATGTGAAAAGGTCGATGGAGGCTGAAACTTGTCGTGGAGGTCTGAATCGATTTTGGTTGTGTGGGAAGCATTTTTTGCCGAGGCGAAAGGGATCTTTAACAGACAGAAGGTTTACGCGGGAATTTGGAGACTAGCACTAATATGGAATAGCGGACTCAAAGCCCTAATTTTCCGTTTTGGGAATCGCAGCCAGAACGCCGTAGAATAACAGACAATATTCATGTGTGTATATATACATGCTAGTATGTTAAGTTCCTAGTAGATGCTGGTATAGCGAAGTGTTTGCTGCGAGCACAGGCGCACGTGGTTCTAACGGCAGCATTTACTTCGTCTGAAGACTGCGATGACTCGATAAATAATATTTTCTGGAACAGCAAGAGAACTCCTCCAAACCAGCTATTTATTATCATGCGCACGGCCGCCTTACGTTATTCTCTCCTAAAAATCTGTCGTTGTTTCCAATTAGCCGTCTCTCTTATCCCCCTTCCATCATCTGATATATTTTCGGTCCCTGCATTAGAATAAAATATCCCCCGGCTCTTCCCCTCGTCGGGAAAACAACCCCTCTTCTCAGCTTAAGCCCTGCACTTTCTCCGGATATCCCACCTCAAGCAACATGGATCTTGTCAATCAGTAAGTGCATTGCCTCATGTCTACTTCTGTTCTGGAGATTTGCTAATTAATTGAAAGCCTAGAAGGACGGTTACTATTCGCGATTCCCAAAAGCAAGTCAATCCTCGAGAATATAATATCCCCCCTCCTCCATCTGCACCAATTCGGCTACTTCAAAAGTTAGGCTGGAACCGGGGAGGTAGAGCTGACAATTCGCAACAGAGGGGCGCCTCCAACAAGCAGCCATTGACCTTTTGGCGGGCTCTGATATCCAATTCCGCCGCGAAACCCGCCTCGACATCGCCCTAGTAAAAAACCTTCCAATAGCCCTAATTTTCCTCCCCGCAGCTGATATACCCACCTTTGTTGGCGAAGGCGGTGTCGATCTAGGAATCACTGGTCGCGACCAAGTGGCCGAACACGACTCCAATCTCCTGCCAGGTGAGGTATCAGGTTTGGAGGAGATCCTCGATCTGGGATTTGGCGGGTGTAAATTACAAATCCAGGTCCCCGAGAAGGGATCAATTACGGACCCGAAGGAATTGATTGGGAAGAACGTTGTCACGAGCTTTACCGGTCTGACACAATTATATTTTACGACTTTAGAGGGGAAGGAGAAGCCCTCCACGAAGATTAAGTACGTTGGTGGAAGTGTAGAAGCTGCATGCGCACTGGGGGTTGCAGATGGGATTGTGGATTTAGTCGGTGTGTTCCATTTTTTTTTTTCTTTTTTTTTTAATCTATCATTTCTGCTCTCGCACTCATGTTGCGCCTTTTTTTTTTTTTTGTTTGTTCACTCCTTGAATATATCCTGTTAATTCCCCCACGTTAGAATCCGGCGAAACTATGAAAGCTGCAGGCTTGAAGCCCATCGGCACAGTCGTCGAAAGTACTGCCGTCCTAGTCAAATCCCGGAACACAAAGAATGAACTCGTAAACCTCATCGAATCCAGAATACGTGGTGTCATCAGTGAGTCTTATTCTTCCCTTAACTTTCCCAGCTAAACTTGGCATACGTGATGAAATAAAGCCTAACCAAATATCCATTTCTTTTAGCTGCCAAAAAATACGTCCTTTGCCAATATAACGTTCCGCGGTCCCTGTTACAAGCTGCATGCGAAATTACTCCTGGTAAGCGTGCACCAACAGTAACCCCCATCGATGATGCTGGCTGGGTTGCAGTGAGCTCTATGGTGGAGAAGAAATCCATCGCCACCGTCATGGATAGGCTGACCGCTGTTGGTGCGACGGATATATTGGTATTGAGTATTTCTAACTCGAGGACCAGATGAGAAATGGGATTTTCTTTTTCATTTTGACGTTCGCTTTCATTCTCGACAACCAAAAAAATTACAAATTATAGACGGCTATTAACTTGGAATTTTCTATGATTCTATTTCTTGATGGTGCTCTGGTTGGAATGTTTACTCATGCGGAGCGGAATGGTTTCTGACCAGGATTTTATCAAGCTTGTTTCCCCTCCAAGTATGTTCACTACTTTTACGATGAGAAGAGAGCAAACGGATCAGTATCATAAGCGGCAACTTGCTAAAAACACAACCGGGTGGGCATTGGAACACAATGTTGCCGGCATTTTTCAAAGCAGTGCCTCCAGAGTCGTACCTCAGAAGCAACGAGGTGTTTGGCAGATATCGGTCTCCTTTGATCGAATCCGAATGGACACCACTTCTCATACATTGCTATAGACCCTGGACGAAAATTTATGTATCTCCTGGGTTTTCACGTAGCGGACATATAGCTGAACGCTGGAGTTCCTTAGTGAGGTGCTGAATTTTCCTAACCTCCGAAATACATGGACCATCAGCATATCTTCTTGGTCAGAATACCCTTTTCTTTTGGCGACTCAATAGAGGGGAGCAGGCCAACGCAGTCGTAATCCTTTCCGTAGGGCCAACACCTCCTCAGATCTAGCTGCCAATAGATCCTATTATTATGTACATGAAATTGCAAAATCAATCAAACAAATCAAATCAATCTATCCTTCTATCCTACGGTCCTACCCCAGGCGGGAATCGCAAGGGCTGAGAGCGACGGCGGCGTGGTCCTTTGAGACGGGATATACATGGTCAAGCGAAGGTGGAGAACGGCTTCCCATTGACGGGGAAATACAGCCTAGGGTGCGAGATTAGCTCATCTGCAAACAGCTCCACAGTTAGTTATGTCCGTGGCGCCAATGTTAGGAATACAGGGGGAAGAGTGAAAGGTTCGCAAGCAGTAGAACATCAAGCTCTAGTGATTAGTGCGGAATACGGAATATGGGCAGCTCAATTTTTGGTAATCACAGCCCGCTAACTAAAAAAGAATCGAGTTTAGAGCCGTAATTGACTTTCAACGAATTGCTTGTCTGCTCGCATGGTTCTCGCGAAGTGTCGATAAGGTGCCCAGGTGTCAATAACATCTCATGATATCTCTCGTATTCGGAAACTTTTTGTCATCAACTCTCGGTTTTTTAACTATAGGCTATCACTGCCTCGTGTGTCGAATCGAGCATTCCCTTCCTTCTAAATATTGCCGTTTTATCATGTAGTTTCTTGGAGTTATCATAGTCAATTCAATACTCTCTTGACATTCAGTATTTGGGTCAATATTCAGATGTTCTTCTACCTTTCCGACACAAGGCTTGTCGTAGGCTGAAGGGAACAACCAACTCCGAGTGCTAGTAAATACTGAATTGCTTGCTACAATTCCCACCAAGATTATTTCTTTAATGATAAAGTTGTATATGAATCAATTGATTTCATTGACCTTGATCAGCTCTGCTCTAGAGAAATTGCAAGCTGACTGCTCTTTGTGATTTAATCTGAAGATAACAGTGCGTTCTGTTTTTGCTCGAGAAGGAATCTGAGAATCACACAGATGAAAACTGAACTCTGCAAAAAGCTCTACAGAAGGGGAGGGTGAAAAATAGTGAGATCTCTTGATGAGTGAGAGTGATCTGACAGATGAAAGAGAATGAAATTGAATGACTCTTAACAACTAACCATCGTCCCTCGCCATGTAGAGGTTGTGGATACAATATTCTCATGTATTAATTAATTAGTGGAGAGTCAATTATATTCCCAACCTATTGAATACCTTATATAACTATATAGTTATACATAAGGAATAGCTGGTGTGTGACTATCAAAAACTGGGGTGTATACGCTGTAAATCACTCAAGGTCAGTCAGGGCTCTGCCCATATCAGCACTAGCCCTAACTACGGCGGGTAACTGAGTCTGAGGGCATCATCGAGCCTTCAATTTTGATCATGACATGTATGACCTAGCCCCGTTCCACATTATCTCAAACGTTCAGATTTCCCTTCCCTGTTCACATAGTTACATCTCTCGACATGAAACCTAAGACTACGTTTTTGACAAGAGCGGGAGAGAATAAGCAGAGAAGCGAGACGGAAGAACAGTCCGCTGCCGTGTTGGCCGTTGCGGGTCCGATCCACTGTGATGGTAAACATTGGATTTACACGCAAAACTTGGAGGTCATTATGGAGTATTTTCGCTAAAGGTCTGAAGCTGAAGGTCCATCAAGGGTCCATCAAGGGTCCATCAAGGGTCCATGTCCATGTACCCATTGATAACGGCTTCGGGGCTTCGGTACGGAAAACGAGCCGACTTCGGGCCAAAGACCAAATTTTGCTACAAGACACCTCATTCCTTCAGCATTGACCATACACAGAATACTCCGTTAGACAACGGAGTACGGAGCACTTCGTGATAATATACACTGGAGACTCTCCCTATCTCAGTGTCATTGACAGTGGGAGTTATGAACCATCCGTGGATGTGTCAATTACGGATCGGGGCCCGGCAAGCCCCTCTCCATTTCGTTAAATCTGATCTCGCCCAGATCAAAACTCGTCGCCGTATCCGACCGATCTTACCATTCATAATAATAACACTAGGTACGGACTCCCCGCAGGATCCATCATCAGAAAAGCTTCCAGGCCCATGACTGACTCTCTTGATACCGACGCATAAAGCCCACCCAGAGAATCCTCAGGCCATGAAGCTGCAAGGCTAGTTCCTTCAAAGGCACCTTCGTTTGCGAAGATGGTTCTATCTACTATGTAGCCTACCACGGCTTGATGGTGTTGCAACTATGCGATTACGCAACATATTCTTTTTCAGGCTATTAATTCGTTTTTTCACTGGCGCCTGTCAGCAAGCGACAGTGAGAATGTGCATTTTATTGACCAAAACTTTGACTCAATCCTTGAGGGACACCAAACCCCAAATAAGATATTCTGACAATGTCACACTGCTAAACTCTTAACTCCTCAAATTAGGAAGATCTGGCTTCACCCTCTTCCATCTCACCATGTTACCTGTTGAGCCGGCTGTTGCGATCAAGCTGATATTCTAGGTTCACAGAGCAGCTAATAATGGACATATTGCGGGACATAATGACCGGCACCCCTTGCCTGCATACCGCCTTGCAATCTCTAGAAGGTACCCAAAAGTGCTTTTATACCCAGCCGAATCCGCTCTGCGAACAGTTTTCCTGCTATCCCTCGCACTCCTCTGCTTCGGAGTCTTGACATCCACCAAAAGGCGAGTCACTTCTTGCCCCCTTTTGCCTCGCAGACCAAGATGGCCGTCCTCTCTTCACTGCTTCCATTGATGCTTCTTGGGCTTGCAAGTGCCCAGATGACCAAAGATCCACTTGTGAAAAATGTCCGCGATTTCGATTCGACCTTTGACTCTATTCTACCCAAACCCCAGAAATACACTTATACAAAATGGGCTGAAGATGAGAGTAAGCATCCGCACAACTTCTCCAAGCATTTTTTGGTAATGTAGCGTGGAGTAGCTGGCTGATGTGCTATACGTTACCTCTCTTGCATCTCTCAGTCAACAGAGGGCTCCCGCCGCGTGATACGTGGAGCCGAAGTTACTATGACAGCACGAGCCGGTTCTATTGCAAAGACGACTTTTCTGTTTACAACGTTACTTATGCGGATGTAAGTCCCCCTTTCCCTCACACCACACAGGATTCCCCACAGTGATGTCGTTTGTTTCTGCATATATTGATGTCTAACACACTTTTATACCATAGTGTCCTGAGCCATGGCTTATTGGTCACTGCGCCAAGGCAGAGATGAACAGGGAAGCAACCTTTGATTTGCTTGGCCGGCTCCCATCAAGCGCCCGCGGTGTGATCTCTGATCTTCTCAACGCAAATATTGAACGTGGTTTGAGCTTTCGTTGGACTGAAAATCATTCTGTGATGGTTGGTGGATATTTCCGACCAGCTGATGGCCTTAAATCAGTGCTGACAGCGCTTTGGGTTGGTTCGCCTGGAGTTCCCTATAACCCCTTTTTGAAAGCTGTTACTGCCGACACCTGTGTAGGTGATGAAGACGCTGCAGCATCCTTGGAGAAGGATGGATCATTGGCAGGTGCAGTAGACACAGCTTTTGTAATTGCGGCATATATGAAGCTTGTCAAAGGCAATCCTCCATTTGATGCTAGCTGTATGAGCAATCAGCTCAAAATTGTTAGACCCTTGTTGGATGCGAGGTGGGATGCTCCTGGTGAATGCCCAAATAAGGTAGCACCAGAACTCGTCAAGTACAAGTAAGCATGGTTGTTCCCCATCCCTTCCCATTCTAGAATAACTATCGTGATTAATAATTGTATTAGGTCTGTCCTATTTCCAAATGGGATAGAAGTACTCAACAAAGACCCGGTCCCAGGCTCTAAAGCTAAATCTGTTGTTCAATGGGCAAAGTCTGATGGTTACCCTGAATTTTGCTGGAATGAGGCCCGAGCACAGAGGTCGAATGACGACAAAAGACCCCGATGCGAACCTGGCCGCCTCAATGTTTACAATGTCACCTATGAAGACTGCCTTGACCAGGACCCCTGGGTGCTCTGTCGTTGTACTGATGCACAGCAGACATTGGATGACATGGTAGAGAGAGTTGGCAAGTTACCACCTGGACTACGGAGCTACATGATTCATCTAGTTGCCTTTGAGAATGATTCCGTTGGTGGAGGCACTGTGATCCCTTGGAACATGGTAATGATCTTTGGTGAGGCTCAAGATAGTGTGTATATGCATGAGGCTAGCCATTGCATCGATGGAGGATTTTACCGAAGTGATGTCTTCCAAGCTGCCAAAGCAAAGGATTCTTGCTGGCCAACCTACTACTCCAAGACTGGAGATATGGAGCTCTTTGCTGAGATTGGTGTGGCATATCTTTATGACAGGAGCGGCAAGACACTGATTCAGAGGGGATATGACCCATCCTGTCTCTCTAACGGGCTTAAGGCACTTGATGAGCATGTTGGCCTTAACTTTCAACGCGATGGCGCCAAGTGTTTCAAGCGAAATCCAAATTCCGATGTCATTCACCCGTCGGATGCCGAATTACTGAGTCCGGAACCGTACATCAGCACAGCCGTCATTGAGGACTTCTCTAACCCTGGCGATGAATCTTCGCAATTCTCCTCATTTTCAGTTTGGGGAGAGTATCCACGCAAAATCCACGGGCACCAGATCTAGTGTTACATGAAAGGTGCCAGACGAATGCTTCTCTGTGGAGCACTTGAGTGATGGGTACAAAAATTTTGTTTGAAATATCATGCCCTTGCCGTTGCTCTAGTGCATGCTTCCTGAGTAGATGCTGCCCCTCAATATGTTTCCCCTCTCACCCCGTATTTGAAATGTGTGTAACAAGTGCTCCCTCTCGAGATGTGATGCGACTAGACGTGTTCACGGGTGGCTCTATCGAATGAATAAGAAATAGATATTGATGGTTGACGACTTAGTTGTTTCTTTCTCCTTGACGGATGATAATTTCTTCAGGCCTGGTGTCAGTATAGTTATTTTATGGCTGAGCTCACGCGCATCGTAAACATTGGTTATAACGCCACTGTGTCCTGGTTCTCCACTAGTTGTAGGAGCCCCTTTCCAACAGCTAATTCAATTTAAATCACCGTTTGATATGAGCGAATGCACAAGCATTGGGGTGCATTTATATTAGTACTACTATGTGTAGATTCTCTGTAAAAGAACAGCTGGGTTGTGGTACTTTTCTGCCAAGTGAGAGGGTGAGAAGCATGATACTATGGCCCTTCTTAAAGCTCACCCACTTCCCGAATGCTGAAATACTAGGACCAATAGATATGTACTTTAAGATGTATATAGTGAGGTTAATAATTCACTATAAAAAAGGAAAAACTTTTCAAGAACTGTCTTATTCTCAGTAAATACGGGGGCGTGGAGCAAAAGCCCTTGCACTCACCAGAAATTTGAATGGAAATACAAAATATATAAATTCTGGGCAGTTATCGACGGCTTTATAGAGAATGACAACTGGCTTTCGCAGCAAATTTTTAGACGGTTTCGTTCACTGGGGACGAGTGAACTAGGATGGCTGAGGTTCTTTTTGTTCTACCGCAGATTGGATTTCTGGGACTTTTATATCTGATTAAGAGATAATACCTCATCTCCTTTTAAAGGGGAAGAATCTAACTACAGCTTTTTTACGCTTATACAAGAACAAGCTTTAGGCACTACATCCCCGATATCGTTTGTAAAGGACCTTTGTTCCGCGCCTCCGTAATATGGAGGTGTATTGTTTCAATTTTCCACGCACAGTTTGCCAGAGATTAACTACATACAACTTGCTGCTCATAAAGCTCACGAGATTATTCATCTGGGGCTAGTAACGTAATTCCCAAGCGAGCGAGCAGCCCAAGCGAGCGAGCAGCCAAATTCTTCCACCTACTAATTTACCTACTCATCCACTTCAACGCGCAATTATGCCACCAATTCGCTCTAAAGATGCTAGGAACTCTATAGAGATAGAGGGAAGACTTGAACTCGCGATAAATGCTATTAAAAAGCAGGAAATATCCTCTATTTCTGAAGCTGCACGCATCTTTAATGTGCCACGCTCTACACTTGGTCATAGACTCAGTGGTCGATCTTCACGGGTGAATTTACGCGCAAATTCACATAAATTAACTCCTGCTGAAGAGGATAAGCTTGTTCAATGGATCCTAGACCTAGCTTTACGAGGACTACCACCCCGGCCTGCATTTGTGGAGAATATGGCTAATCATCTTCTTGCCATACGGAAGCCTAGCCATACAAACCACCCTCCTCGCGTTGGCAAGAACTGGGTGTCAAATCTAGTGGCACGCCGTCCAGAGCTCCAATGCCGCTTCTCAAGACGCTATAACCATGATCGGGCCAAGTGTGAAGACCGCAGGATTGTGGAGGATTGGTTTAAGACCCTAGAGAGGGTAATGACTGAGCATGGGATTGTGTTTGAAGATATTTACAACTTTGATGAAGCTGGGTTTGCAATGGGGCTCTGTGCAACTACCAAGGTCATTACTAGTGCTGAGCACTACGGACGAGCAACTCTTATACAGCCTGGGAATCGTGAGTGGGTGACTGCAATTGAGTCAGTCAACGCGTCAGGATGGGCCCCTCCGCCGTATATTATCCTCAAAGGTCACAATATTCAGGAAGGCTGGTTTGACGGGCTGCCGGAAGGCTGGAGATTGGATGTTAGTCCTAATGGCTGGACCACAGATGAGATAGGAATCAAATGGCTTACACGGCTGTTTATTCCAGCTGCAAATCCACGCAGGGTTGGAACCCATATTCTTCTTATTCTGGACGGGCACGGCAGTCATCTTACTCCGGAATTTGACCAAATCTGCAGTGAGAATAAGATTATTCCTCTCTGCATGCCACCACATTCTTCACACCTTTTGCAGCCACTAGATGTGGGTGTTTTTGCACCTTTAAAGCGCGCGTACGGAACCCTAGTTGAACAGCGAATGCGGCTAGGATTCAACACCATTAAGAAGGCAGATTTCCTAGATGCCTATCCTGCAGCACGTCGGGAAGCCTTCAAGGCTTCAAACATTCAAAGTGGGTTCAGGGCCACTGGAATAGTTCCATTGGATCCTCAATGCGTTGTTCAGCAGCTGAATATTCAACTCCGAACCCCTACTCCCCCAGCCAGCAGGTCAAGCAATTCAACGTCATCCTGGATCCTACAAACACCTAGTAACCCCCGGCAATTGCAGAAGCAGGTGAATAAGGTCAGAAATCTTATGGATCAGGATCAACCTCATGGGTTAGTGGAAGGCTTTGACCAAATAATCAAGGCCTGCGAATACGGGATGGTCAGCGCCATGGTTATGAAGAAGCAGTATGAGGATATTTTCAATGCAAATGAGAAAGAGAAGCAAAAACGCAAGAGGTCTACACGCAGGATCCCAAGTGCAGGGGGTCTAACTAGGAATGAAGCTCAGAATCTTATTATTCCTGCAGCTGAGCCTGCTGAACAGCCTGTTATTCAACATTCCGTACCTGCGGCCCCGGAGCCTAGACCCCGCATACGAGCGCCACAACGCTGCAGCAATTGCAATACTGTTGGGCATACAAGAATAAGATGTCCTCAACTTCATGTAATTTAATTTAATTTAATTAGTGGTTGGTGGGAGTAGATAATTTGATTTAAATTCTGGTTAGTTGAGATATGCTAGTTTTGCTGCTCGCTCGCTTGGGCTGCTCGCTCGCTTGGGAATTACGTTAACTAGTTAATAGTAAGGCTTCGTTTGCTGACAAAGGTCGCAGACTACAACGAACAGGTGAAGGAGAGCAAGATTGTGCATTCGCGAGTCTGGTAAGTCGCAGGCGAATAAACAGAAGCTTGGGTGACTAGCCGATAACCACCTTATTGGGAGCGGAATAGAACAGCATGTATGAATCGAAAGAGAGATGAAAAAATGTCAAAATTGGTCTACCCCCACCCACCGACCCGGGAAGACCCCTGTAGTTGAAGGAACTGCAAAAACATTAGAAAATGGCTATTACTTTAATATCAGGGAATACTAACTGCGTGGCTGAATAAATGTATTCTCAATGAGGCTCCAAAGCGCGCAATTCGATAGGTCGGCATTCTTGAGGAGAGACATAGTTAGGATGATTTTGCTGCTTGATTAACATGTTGGTGGACCTACTGATTGGTGAGCTTCCCATAACCACCACAACGCTCCATAATTCACTCGATTCGATATTCTTTACGGGATGCACAGTTAGGATGACTTTGCAACTTGACTGATGTGGACAGACCTACCAATTGGTGAGCTTCCCGTAACCACCATGGCGCTCCAAAGCGTAATTCGATTAGTCGAGTATTCTTTACGAGAGATTTAGTTAGATAGCATAGCGGCAAAGTAGGTGATAGAAGATTGACCTTTCGAATGGCTTTCCTTAGCCACCAACTTCTAAAGCGTACGCACTATATATCGGTTGGATCGCTATTTATGGAGCATGTGGGGTTAGGATGAAATTGTAACATAAATAACGGGTTACAGAAGACTGACAGTCCGAAGGGCTTTGATTAGCCACCACATCGCCCCAAAGCGTATGATCCCGTTGGTCCATAATTTCTGTACAACACAAGTCGTTAGTATGACATTGTGACCTAGTAGGTGATGGAATGCAGACCGTTCAAAGCGCTTGGCGAAGCCACCATGTCGCTCCGGAGAGTATAATTCGTATGCGGTCTTTGGTCCCTATAAGCTCGATGAGCAAAATACAAATTGAGTTGCGGAAGTCTCACCTTGTGGAGGGCTGACACATTGCCACCATATGTTCCAAAAGTATGCCATCCGGCGTGGATCTGCAAAACGAATCGAGTCTGCAAGCATGCGACAAATAATTGATGTGGTGGGAGAATATTATTTGCTTGCGGAAAGTCGTTACACCTAAAAATAACTCAAATAGTAAGTGAGCAACACGAAGGGAAAGGGCAAACCTGTTCAACATGATCTACAATTATGGCTGTGGCTCATTTTTAGCTTTTGCAATCAAATGGTGGGAGAGAACTGAGACAATATAGAGGGCCAATATACCTAAACACGGGGGCTCTGATGCCAAATTTCGGATATCCTTCGAGT